TATATATATATATATATATATATATATATATATATATATATATATATATATATATATATATATATATATACATATACATATATTACAGAATTTGACATATTTTGAATTTAATGTTAAAAGTAACAACACTAACTATGTCTATCGATTTCATCGACTTCGACTTTACCATGTTTGGAGTTGATTTTCTTGTAGATCTGCATTGATATTTTAAAAATAAATAAATACAGAGGGGCCGAGAACTAACAAGTTTTGTGACACCTGGCTAAGTCATTTTTTATGGTTATTGTTCTTCTAGATATTGTGATTTTATTATTTCGATTTATTTTATTGTTATAAAATTTATACCCAAAAAAAACCGATACGCTATATTATTTATCAAGCAATAAAAGCCCAGAGATGGTGATAGAAGTTACGTTACGTTACTGTTACCTTTAAGACGTCAACCAGAAAAAAACTTACTACTTTATTTTATTTGTTTAACACAACAAATATCAACATGTTTTTGGTAAAGCCGGACATGATTTATAAAATTAATACAAAAAAATGTCGTAGGTACCAATTCGGCAGTGGTAATTTATTTTCGCTGTCTAGCTATCTGATATGGACAACTTTCGGATTTTTTTTTATTGCAAATAGTTTTGGTAATAGGGAACGTTATAAAAAGTCTTTTTTTTTAGATATTAAATAGGTTCAACTTATAGAAATATGTTTTTTCAGGTTGAAAAAAAAACTTAGATTTTTTCATTAACACTTTTATTGTTTAGTGTTTCAGTTCCCATAAGACACGAGGGTTGATTTAGGATATTTGTTACTGTGTCAAACTTATTATGTACATATATAAATTATTACACATTTATAAATTATTTAATCCAAACCGTATTGCAACATGCGTAATAATGGAAAAAGTTAGAAAATTCCAGACAATGGATTTCAGTAGTTCCAGAGAAACAAAACGTTAAATTTAAATGTAACACCCAAGATAAACATCAAAATCTCAATCGGATGTACCAAGTTAAACTTCCACTGCCTTTTTAAAATTAATGATCAAATAATTAATGGCCGACTTATAAAATAATTTAGATCCAACTTTACGAAATATGATAAAATCTTTTGTGCACTTTTGAGATATCACTGAACTCTACGCTCTTTCCAAAAATCGAAAAATCCAATATGGCGGCCATAAGAAAAATGAAAGTTAACGGTTTTTCGCTAAAAAATCCAAACCAATTGACCGATCTTAAATCTGAAAGCGATTATCAAATGCACTAAGTTTCCTCTAAAACTTTCAATATTTTATATTTACTGTAGGTATAATAGAAGCGGAGCACCCTGTATAGAGAAGCGAATCTGGGACACATCATTGTATGGAAACGTAAATGATTTAACATGTGCCTGCTAAAGACAATATCAGTGATTACTGATTTCACTTCAAGATCCAAGTTCAAGTTTTGAGGGTGCCATTCACCATCCCAAGAATTTGAATAAGCTATCCGTTCATTATCAGAGAAAAACTGTACTCGTATTAATATCCATGTCAAAGCCTCATCGACTTAAATATATGATGAGCAAGACCTTTCATCAACTCGCATCATCACAATATTAGACAAGTGAGAAACTTTTAACTTTGAATTTTAATATAAATACGCTTCGAAAATGTATTATTTACTTATCAAAACACAAAAGACTGGTTGAACGAACGAACAATTTTTTAATGAATTACAATTGAAATTAAATATTTAATTAAAAACACTGATATAACAGTTTAGATTTTGGTTAGTTACGATGTTTTCAGCTATCACTGAAATGTGCCCAAAATTCTGATTTAAAACATAACATAGGACACATACAAATGCTTCTTGCATTTAGGTGCCACTTATTGTGAGATATATATGATATTGTACTTGTTGCGTTTTGTTTGGTTTCATGTAAATAATGTGGGTAAATAAATAAATAATTAAATAAATGAGCAAAAATATGAATCGTAACGATTAAAGTCAGGATTAAAGTATAGAGATGTTAAAATCACGAAGCAGAAGATTTTCTAGAATAAAGCTTACCTTACTCTTTTTCTACTACTTTAATCCAGGGTCAATAGATTTTCTTACATAGCTACATAACCACAGACGTTCAACTAATGATTATATATGATATATATCTATGTAAATGACATAATAAATAAATGTATAAAAAACATAAGTTAATGAAGAAAAGAAACGAAAAGAAGAGAAAAATTCTAATAGCGCTGTATTTTTGCGATCTAGCTCCGTAAACATATAATACGCATTTTAAAATTTTCCATTCGAGCGATCAAGTAAGTACACTATATGGTTTTCTCAGGCTACAAGCAGTAAATTCCTATCATGCGAGATTCTCGAGCAGGATATTTTGTTGTTTGGGGTTCGTTTTGTTTCTATATTTAATTACTAATTGTTCACTATAAATTGTCGCCATGAGCTATATAAGTATCTTCATAACTCGATTAGGTATCTAATGTAGATTACCCCAGGACTGAAAGTGTCGACAACAGATTACGAAACTTGCTTAAACAAAAATTTAGGATTTCCTAGTGCTATATTATGGAACTGCCTATACTTACAACTTTCAGGTGAAGCAAACACTAGATCGCTTAACTTTTTTTAATCTACTAAAACCTTAAAAACGACATTTGACTCACGAGTTTATTTCACACGAGCGGAGTGATTGTTTAATAAACGAGTGACTTAAAAAGTTTACCGAACGTGTTGCATACTATACCTTGTCTACGACCGTTAGTTTTGGGTACATTTTCGCAAAACAACACGAATACATTCACTGACATGACCGTCAGAACTGACAAACATTAAAATTCAAAGCGTGGGAAATATCTCCGAAATAATCCGATTGCTCCCAAACTCGTGCGGTAAAATAACGGAAATGTCCGAAGTGGCTCGGATCCATGGGAAACGAAACTGACGTGGTAAAGTGACGCTTCCCTCACGCTAGATCGGTGTGTAATTATGTATTTTACAGACGGGAGTAGAAAATTAGATCCATTTCGTTTAGGGTTTGTGGCAACATTAGGCGTTTGTCGACATATATAAAGCATTTGGAGCATTATTTTGGAGGTAGAATATGCTAGTAAAATTTGGTCCTCTAATTTCGGGATATCCTATACTAGGGGGTACAAAAATTAAATTTGTCTACTCCCGTCTGTAAAATACCTAATTACACATCATTCTAGCGTGCGGGAAGAGTTACCGCACGGGTTTGGGAGCCATCGGATGTTTTCGGAGATATTTCCGACGCCGTGAATTTTGACGTTTGTCAATTTTGACGGTTATGTCATGGAATGTATTTGCACTGTTTTGCAAAAACTAACGGTCGTAGAAAAATTATAGTATGCAACACGTTCGGTAAACTTTTTAAGTCACTCGTTTATTAAACCCTCGCTCCGGTCGTATCGAGATACGAACATTACATCAAACATTATTAAAAAAAAAAGAAAAAACAAGGTACTGCACAGTGTGTTCAAAAATATACAGGCAATTTAAAACAAACACGAACCATTCAACAATATTCTTTACGGAAAAAAAGAAAATCCTGTATCTCTGTTCTAGTCCATAGAACGGTAATACCAAGTGAGAGCAAAATAAAAATCAAGAAAAAGGTGTGTGGAATAGACGAGTGTGTCATACAATGCACACTTAAAACGCGGGTCATCGACCAAAACAAAAGTAAGAATTTTGCCTTAAATTCGTCTGCAATTAAGTTTGAAATGGTGTCCGCATTGATGTTATCAGCGTTTTCCGGTTACTTTATAGGATAAGGATCGCGGCATTTTACCGTGGCGTAAATAGAATATGCTAATTGAAAAATTAATAGTCTTGGGCGCCAAAAAAATCTGTCCACACACACATAGAAATTAAATCAAGTTTTACAAATACTCGTTTACAAAATACTCGTACAGACACAAAAATTTTGTCACACCCTAAGACCTGCTGTGTAACAACAGTATGGAATTAGATTTTCGCGCAGCGATATACTAATGCAAGCAGCAAGTCTGTGATGTGCCATGCAGGCAATTTCATACAGCCATTACATAATATACTTGCATAACTACGGTAAATGATGCGCCGCAGGCGGCATCGATGTATTCGTAGAGAATACATACCTCTCTCTACATTTCACCCAAAACTGCGCACTTTGCGCCATTTCATTTCTAAACTGCGATTTCGACACACTTATCTAGGCATATTTTGACAAAATACTGCCGCAAAAAGAGAAATGAGTTCTAAAATCTCGCGCATGGCCATATTGAATACACCTTTTAAATTTTGTTTTCATTGATGCTTCGTAAGTTTCTGTTTTATAACACATGCAGGCCTCTAGTAGCTATATAGGCAATTCATATAAGGTTTGTCAGAAAGGATTGAACCTGTTTTTACATTTTTACAAAATCTTTAGAGTCTAGGACTTTTCCCAATTTTATAAAAAAGCAATAATATACCACGTTGCTGTTTTATTAATTTTGAGAAAGTTCTGTTAATTCAATGGAAGCCACTCTGCGTTTCGGAGATGAGCTTTTTAATCAGCCGTCAACTCTGCCAATATCTTTCCTGCTATAAACAATCACAGCAGTCATATGTGGTGCCTTGTTTTTATGTTTATCGCATTGACGTTCGATTGAAGTATATTTTGTCAATTTACGCCCACCGCTGGTTTCAGTCATTCTTATAAAAAAATAAAATGGCATTGACAAAGAAATCACTAAGACAATAAATAATTAAAAAACGTTGTCTAAGAATTATACCAATAAGCTACAGGAATGTGTAAAATCAACTTTTTGAATTATTTAAATTTTTGTAAATACATTTTTATCATGGATAATAAGGTCAACAGGTTCTACCAGCCGATTAGCTGTTGCCAACCACAATTACAACAAGTTAACATGTTGTACCAATCACGTGGAGGTTACAGATTACCACCACATTACAGTTAAATTAAAATAAAAAAACGTTTTTTAAAACTTTTATTGAAAAGGCTCTTAAAAAAATAACATTATACACTTTAACGTCGTATGTAAAAATCTTAAAACTAAAAATGCATCGAAACAAGATGCAAAGCAAAAAAGAAACCTTACTATCAAAAATAATTGATGAGTAATCAAACGAAATGAAAACTCAACACTATAACATAAAATATTTTTGTCTTGAGAAAAAGAAACTAAACTCTTATTATAGGAAAATATAAACTAAAACATTTTTTCGAGAAGATGTAACATGAGATTTAAAGATAATATAGGGTATTGTTCAGGGCAGGATTGGCGGCCCTGTGTAAGCTCTGGGCTGTAAGAAACGCCAATTTGTGGGCATATTGACATGGTGCTGGCACTCGCACGGTGCCCGAATAATTGTAGTACATATGGCACAACTTAAACGTAAATTTCTGCAATCTGTTTGCATCAATACCCAAAGAATCTTCAATGACATTGTAACTTGTTGGAGCAACAGTGCCTTGCCTAACACATTGAGATACAATATAGAAATCGTACCTGAAATTTAAAAAAATAGATAAGGAATAAAATTACTAACTTTGGACAAATTGAAATATTGCCAAAAAAATGAATTTAATCAGTTTGAGCGTTTAAAAGTTAACAATTTTTTTTCAAATTTTTATTTACGGTTCCTTGCCCCTATGCACTTAAAAATCCTTAGGTATTCTGAGATTTAAAACATACTTATTCGGTAAAAGTTACATTTCAAAAGTTAAGTTTCAGCCAAAAACAGTAGGTTATCTTCAGAGATATGTTCCATACAAAAAAAGTTAAAGAATTAATTGGGTTGATATAAAATATTATTTAAAAACAAATAGATAAAAGTCAATACATTTTTAAATCAAGCTTTTGGCTGAAATCTAAGCAATGTATACTGAATTAAAAAGTTTTATATGCCAGAATAGTCAGGAAAATTTGATTTCGTTTTAATTGAAAAAAACCTTAATTATTTAGAAAAAAGTGAATTAAAGAAATTATCTTTAAAGGATATTCAAAGACAATTTTGGACAAGATTTCAAACAAATTTGTTTAATTTGCAAAATAGAACTGAACTTTTTTGTGCAGCTGGCAACATTGACATAAAACCACGGCATTAAAAAGCTGGAAGAAAGGTAAAGGTAGCAATTAATAAGACTATATATTCTAAGGCGCTAAATATGCACAAAAAATCAAAAAGCGAACTTCTGACAGAATTTCCTAAAAAAAATTCTAGTCTTTACCTTTCAGGCCAAGTTATAACGTCATCGACAACAGTGCCTGGTGGTGGATTAAAATCGTTTTTAGGCCCAGCGCCTTGAAACCGGAAAATTTTGGTGTTTATTCGCTTTGACACAATAATAAATGCCATTTTGATAGGTTGGGACTTATAAACCTCAACTTCCAGCTTCTTCTTTATAATGTCCACCTCATGTTCTTTGACATATTGTATTTGACCATCACCAACACCATCCCGATATATAACTATGCGCTCTGAAATTAAATCATCATATGTGCATCTGCTCAAAAGAAAACGTCAGCAATAACAAGAACACAGAGAGTAGGAAACATTAAACTATACGGTGTGATGAATTCATAAAAGTGGCGCATCACATATTTTCTACAATTCGTATGTTATCATACCTGGAATTATTTTATTTCGTTCCTGGTAAGTTTTACATGCAAGCAACAGAAATGTTGAAATGTTGCTGCTTAGTTCTTGTTCTTGTTCATGCTCAGTTGTCAGACTGAAATACTGGCTACAAGCATTGTCCATTGAGGCAACCATCCCAGCAAAACTTTTTCCTCTATTAGCGGTGTCTCGACATACATCATACCTAAACAAAATGTGAATAGCAAATTTCTAATCTGAATTTCAAAGTTAAATAACGAGAAGCCTGTTTAAAAAAAACCAACAAGCATATCTAGAAACCGAAAACATAAATAAACTTGTCTTTTACCTTTAATGTTTAAACTACTAGGAGTTTTATTTTAATTAAGCTAAAAGTTTAATTAATTGTAATAGCTTTAAGTGTAACAAATCCTGATTTTAATGTTTTGGCAAATAACATTTGTATAAGGTTCTATACGCCTAAATTCAGGCGTTTTGGTGATATCTAAATTGCACTTTAAAAAAAATTTTGTCTGGTCAGGTCTATTATAACAGTATAACAGTAATTAAAAACTAGACCTACCAACTAACAGATTATTACTTAGCAAAAAATTGATGAAGGCAATCATTTTTATCAACTTAACTAACTCGATTATGTTAATGAAACATGGCCAGATTGCTTTTATAAACTCACCCAACAATCATTGTTGCTTTGGGCAGAGCTGTTCCCCAAGGAGCTCCTCCCATCTTACAATTCATTTGAATTGCAACCTTTGTAGCAACCGACATCAAGCCTGAAAAAATAAATATCCAAAATATGTCTTGTATCAATTAAAAATTATTTAAGGCCTTGTAAAATGTAATTTCCTGTGATTTGTAAATACTTAGTCAGAAAAAAAACTTCGCTTCTTTTAGAAAATTAGATATAGAATTGGATTCAGTTGAAGAAAACCAAGTGTTGTATTATTATGCTCTTCAAGCATACCACATCAATCAAAAGTATTTATTTTGTCAGGACAACTACAAAAACTTTCCCAACAACTACAAAAACTGCCGGCAATATTTTAGTTTAAGTACCAAATCAAAACTAAAGACTTTCAAATAACATTTTTGCCAGAAACAATTTTGAATTCAAAAAATTTAAATATTCACCCTTATTGCTTAATGTTTTCCCAACAATAACTTGGCAGGGCATGGCACGGTCAACATAACATTTCTTTTTTACTGCATTGTATCGGTCAGCTGAGTTATTTGGTAATATGACCAATACCATTTTTGGTGCCAGATTTGTAATGACATAATCAAGATTATCTAAGTAGGATTGCGCACGATCGTCTTGCATGTCAATTATCTTTGGACTTCCAAGATTAAAGTGCATCCCTGAAAAGAAAAAATAAAACACGATATATTAAAAGATACCAAATTGTGCTTTTAACATCTATTTTTGCTATTGGTTCTATTCAGATCCTATATTAAGAAAATACAATAAATAATACCTTTTCCCACTTTTATCAGGCAGCTTACAAACTCATTGGTTCCTTGTCTGAATCTTCCAGGACAAAGCACAGCCAACTTATCTATAGGAGCAACATTGAACATTGGCGCAGTCCTTAAACTTTTTGTGAAATCAGCTTCTGGACCTCCAGTTATTTGAGTGCCATTTCTTAAAATCAAAGTCTCTTCCGGTAACACTCGCCCAGATACTTCAACTAGATCGCGAGCCATTTCGAGGTCCCAACGTCTTATTTCTTCCATTGCTTCTCGACAATTCTGCAACCTCTGACTGAATTCCCTAATTTTCTGAATACGACCTTAAAAACAGTTAACACCTTGTTAATACACTATCAATTGGGATAGCAAATACCATATTCCATCAATTTAGCAAAGAATTTAACTGCATGTATGATATGAAGAAGCATATTCAAGCTATGACACAAATAAGTTCCGACCCTGGTAGCTGATACCTACTACTGTCAACACTCCTTACCTTGAGGACCCACTCGAGTATGTTCACCTAATGCTTTCATTAAGTGGAAATTTTCGCGCTGCTTATCGGTCAAGCCAGTCATTATACAGAGAGATGGAATAAGGACAACAGTTTCAGGCATGCCAGCCTTTATTTCACGCTGTTTGCTCCTCGAAACAAGCATAGGCTGTTCCATAACATCAATTGGAACCCTATATCGCTCTTGGAAGTATTGAGCATAACTGATTGACGATCCTAAAACATGAAAACGAACACTATGTATAAATCCCTAATTACAGTCATAAATACAATTATTGATGCATGGTTATTTCACACCAGAAGTCAACTCAGATGCTAAAATCCAGAACAACAAATAGACCAATGAGTTGATGCTTCAAATAAACAAGTGTTTTTAATGTGATTCAAAATTGTAACAAAAAAGATTGTTTCATTTTTATTTTTTTTTTTAAATCAATTAACATTAAAGTTAAAATTAATATTAAATGAAAATGTATATACTATGTTACACGCATTAAATTATTGAAAATAAAAAATATAATAAACAGGGGTTGTACTTGGCTGCACGTAGAACTTTGCGCAAGAGAAATTAATTAGTACCCGCTTACCATCCCTCTTCTGAAATGTTGATGCTGGTGTCTGTTTAAAGTCTACATCATCAATTCGATATGTTTTATTATTATAGTATGTCAGAACAATATTGCCAATAACTCTCTGGCGAAACTCGTTATGGGGATTCCTACTTTGACCACATTCAAGTAACAAGTCATAGACATTGTCTGTGCGTAAAACTTTGAACGATAAATCGGCATTTATCATGATACTTCTTTCATACTGTCTTATTGATGTGAAATATCCTGGCCAAAGCTCTAGATTATGTTCCGGTATGGAAATCTGAAACAATAAACAGTCATTAAGTGATTCAAATTACTAAAGTGCTGTTTCGGATTTGAGATTAAAACAGCAATATCTGGACTTGTAGAATTTTTTTTTATTCTAATGCTATTGTTTCAGAAGAAATACTACAATTCATGTATTACAGACCAATCAGCGACAATACATGATGGATATCTTTAGAGAATCCGCTATACAATGTCTAATTATTCTCATCAAAATACTTTATTCAATATGCCATTTTCAAAAATTTTTTGTTTATTATTCATTCATTCATTTGAAAATGGTGGAACCGCAACGTTAAAATGAGAAAATATAGTTTCATTTTAATATTTTATTTCATTTTGTGAAGACTTAATCTTAAACTAGGCAGCTTACCAAAACTTAAGATTTATTACAACTTATAATATTCTAAAATTGATATTTTTTATACAGGAAGCTAAATAATTTTCTCATTTACATGGAATATACAAACTAATCATCAAACATCCTCACTATTGTTATAACATCATCTTACCAAAATTCAGCGTAGAGTGAAAATGTTTTATTTTCATTGAAGTCATTTATAAGGAAAAAATGGATAAGTAAATGTAAGACAAGCATTAAATAACTTCAAGAACTTACCTGTAAAAGAATTGTACAAAAGCAAAAATAAAGTATTACAGCTCACCACTTGCCCCGATCACACTAGCAATCATGAAGCTAGCACCGTTAGCAAACAAGTGCATACGTTAGATTTTACATCCCACGTAAGGACCATTATTTTTTTGTAACATTTGAACACGAAGACCTAAGTGGGAAGCGTAAATTCAAAAGAAAACCAATTGAAACGAACTTATTATACGCAAATTTGCTCCTGGAAAGATCGCCAATTTTGCCATGTTTTTCGCAAACTACACACTTGTTCATCATTGTTTTCTACATTTAGGCATTTACAAACTTTAAAAAACCCACAAGAAACACTAAATACCGTTGAAAAACCATGAATGAACCTTGGACCAGTTCTAGTGAACCCGCACCTGATTGGCATAGAGATCAAAACAAATCGGCAGGTGTTGTGCACGTTTTCCTGCTCTATCTTATGCACCTTTCTGGGTATATATAATCTAAGGTGGAAACAAATTTTAAAGAAAATACCACAGCATGGAATCATCCCGAATGCCCAATATTAATCCTTACTGATAGAACATCGTCGAAATTACAGAGACGGGCGGGCTAGCAACTTGCAATGAAATAGCATACGAACCTTTAACTTTGGATCAAAGTAGTTTCTTCCCATCAATTTAAGGTCCATGAAGGTTAAGCACTTCCTCATTATTATATTAAACAATTGTAGATAGTGATAATCGCCCCATTTTACTTCCCCAACTAAACGCAATGTCACGTTAATATGAGTTCCATCTACAAAATATGAAATCATAAAGATTTGTTTGTGAAAAATTGGTCAGGCACTCAAAATACTGTAGTACTTAATTTCCGATTAGGGGCATAAAAACATTGATCAACAATTTCTTACCATCTGTGTCCACAACGAACGAAAGTGGATCCGGATGAATGCGGTTAGGAGTGTACAGAACAGTACCGTCAAATAAATAACCAGACACATTTTTGTTTTGTAAACCAGTTCTTACTAGATATTTTCGTGTCGATGTATTATCCAGATCTGGGGCAAAATCAACACGATATTGATTTAACCCCCAAAGACCTTTTGGGACCAATGGAAAATAGTTTGCCCTGAGCCTAATGGGAGTGCCATCTGTGCCTTCAAAATAAAATATATATATATTTAAACAAATTAGTTAAAAGTTCTTTGTGAATTTCTTCAAGTAGCCGATTTAGTCGACTTTCAGTAGAATTCTGTATGAATGTAATCACGAATCGGAGCGACTTCAGAATTACCACCTGCCACAAATATCAAGATAAACAGATAAATTAGTTCCCTAAAAATGCTTATCAAGACTTGTGAAAGTGTCAAAAATATCATTTTTTGATTTTGAATTTATCTAAACATATTGCTACTTCATTCATCCTTCTTATTATAAAAATATTGAAACACTCTTTATACTGTCTTTTTCCAAAAATCATCCACCTTAAAATCTATATGCAAATAACACTTAAGGATGTTATTCCATATTCAAGTATTCAAATGTTTTAGAATAAGAACTGTGATAGGATAACATGATTAAAGATTTAATTTGCAAACTTAACAAAATCTGGTTGAATTTTCAAACAACAGTCTATTATTACTGTTATTCGCGAAAACAAACTAACCAAAATTAAGAAATCATTACTGCATTAAATAATTTTTTAAAATAAAAACGTATGCAAATATAATTGAGCGCACAGTTTTAAGTTCTGCGACTCATTTTACCAAGCAGACGCCGGGCAAGCGTTTTTATGCACAAAGTTTCAAGCGACTTCAGATAAGGGTAACCTTGGTGTGTTGGTGTCGCGACTATTCATTTTACATATCGCATAATTATATCAAAACCGCTTACCCTTTTTAGATTTTATGTGGGCCGGTCTAGTGCTGATAATTTCATTTCTGTTAGTTCGGCCTCTAACTCCGTTTCCCCCACCACGACGCTCTTGTCCCAAGCCAGAATCGCCTCCTTGGGAAACTAAAGTTTCACAAAATAAGATTTATAAATTTGAATATCAAATATAGAAACAAATTTGTAATTAATTTAATTTAATAGTTATATAGATTACAATAATATACAATCTTTAATGAGCACTTTTTTCAGGGTTCAAATACTATTTTCAAATTACGATCGAAAAAGACTAATCTCACAAAAACTGAATGGGTTTATAGCGTTTATTGTTTCATATTTATTTGTCTAGATTAAGTAATATTAAAAAAAAAATAATGAAAAATTACTGTCACACAGATCACTTTGGCAACGCGTGATTACATCAAAGACTAATAGTCAAACAGGAACATTTTTTTATTCAGTTTGGAAAATATGCCCTACTTTGTAGCATTACTTTGTCTTGTTTCGCCTGTAAGTGATCGGTCATCTCCTCCACCTTGTCTTGATCCTCGACCCACAGTTTGCTAAAACAAAACAAAACCTTTTTATACAAGAAATCACACAAACCCCAATATATTGTTCCAGATGCGACGTATGCGTGGTTTTTACTTTATATGAAAAAAAGATTGAAATAAGGAAAACAACTGTACTTGCGATTTCGCCTCATATTGCCAAATTACTTGTAACCTGAGACGTAGCCCATTCGAACTAAAATAAATGTAAGGGAGCCCCTTAGCGCACACAATTTCTGCTATATTAGTACATTGCAACGCAGACATCTTTAAGAATATTATAATAATATACATTTCCGTAGTATTGTTAATCTGTGAGTTCCAGGTAAGTACTGTATTTATTCCTGACTTTATTTCAAAAGGATTTTTTAAATAAACTATACATTTAGAGTGCCAATTACACCGTTTTAACCAAGTACGTCAATATTTTTACAAACCAGCTACCGTAGTCCATATTCCAAAATCCCTTTTTAATTTCCCATTACTAACAGGCGAATATTTCGTGAACTGCTTGGTCTTACTGAGACGCTTTTCTTTGTAAAGGTTTCTAAGTTTCTACGTTTTGGAGTCGAGTGTTGAAAAACTTATCAAGTGGGTCGATTTGTTTGAATTTCGAGATAATGTGGAAATAAGTATCAAACAAACCCCATGGCTTGAAAGGGAACGTGCTCCGCAGAAACTATATCAACTAGGCGAGATATTATCGAGACCCAATTTTTTAAGAAGAGGTTGAAAGTCGCATTCGAAGTGTGAGATTCTCAAATAATTAATTGATAAATGCACAAAGAATACAAAACGGTTACGTTTTGTTTCGCTCGGATTATTTTTGTAGTCTTCGGATAGTTACAGTGCAAATTTTGACTACTGCAGCTTATCAAGTAAATATTGAAAGAGTTTAACATGTCTCCGTTGTATAATAAATAATTAATGTTTTATTCCGGCAATCGAAATGCGATTTACCACATCCGGAAAAAAAAAGACAAAAAACTTGTAACAGCAGAAATCGTTATTTTATCTTGACCTTGGCAACATCCGTTGCGGAAACGGTATCTCGAAAACTAAAAAAAAAGAACAGCAATAAGAAAAAATCATAACTTTGGAAAAAGAAAATCAAGAGCTGGTAAGGAGTCAACTAGAACGACTAAGATCGGAATCTATTCAAAACGTGCGACGTCACTGACAGATTTATTCACCAATAAATTAGAAATTAAAATATTAGACTTGAAAGTTATTTTAGAGTAGGTAAAAATGCCCCAAGGAGGCCAGATCTATTATCACCATCTATCTCGTTAAACGGTAGAGACCTCGTTACTACTTTAGCAACAAAAGGTTACAGAGGAATTAAACTGCTATAACTGAGGAAGTAACGGAATATAGATAAAATAAAATGGTTCTTGCAAAAGAAAATGTGGGCAATGGAAAAGTAGGGAATATGGAAATAAACCCGGAGATGTTCATAGAACCATCGACTGTGGTCGTGAATGGAGTGCCCTAGGCACAATCATATATCTGGTGCTCCAAAAAGGGTCGGCCGTAGGACCAGTTCTACTTTTAATATACATAAATAATCTACTATGTTGTCTTTGTCTATTAGATGGAAGGATAGCTTGGTGTGGGGCCGCGTGGGTCGGTATAGTCTTTGGTCTTCAGTGGAGGACCATCAGAACACTTGCTGGTTTGGGTTTTAGGGATGATTGCAGAGATGCTTTTTGTAAACTTGGTAGTATCCTTATATTTCACTGCACCGCATATATTCGATTGAATTGTCTATTTAAAGTCAAACAGGGAAGCTTTTGCTGCCCAAGGCGACATGCACCAATATCCCACGCGTGGAAGGATGTTGTCCTATTGTCGGCTAGGAAGGGGTCAGAACAAACAGGAGTTTGCTGATGTGAAAATGTCACTCACTTACCAACTTTTAAAAAAATCTTTAAAAAATGTTGGTGAAAAGTATCATAATTTTTAAATTTGGCAAATTGCTCAAGGCAGAAGGCAAGAAACTTAAGAAGAATTTTTAAATTAGTTTTTGCTGTCCATTGTAGTAATATTCCTCTACAAAACAGTTTTATTTTTTTTTACTATTAAAATGGTGATCTTAATTACATGGTAAAAAATAGTTTATTATATAATTATTATCATTTATTATATACATATGATCAAAGATCGATAGTGGAATGAAATTCGTCAAACTTCTTTTTCTATTGTATTACTGCATTTTCGAATTATTTATTATTATTACTTTGAATAAATTTTACTGATTGCGCAGATTTAGTTGGGTCTAGAAAGAGTATTACAAAATTTTCAATGGCTTTAATCAATGTAAGAACATTAAAAGGCCATTTTTTAGATATAAAAGATCACACAAAATATGTCAATGGCGCGTCAACACTTAGCTTGGGCAATCTGGAGATATCCTGGATAACATTCAGATAGATGGATATCGTCATACACCAGCTTATCATGCGGGCCCAAAGGTCAATAATTATAAGAAAATCGTCTAACATTATAAGCAAACCCTTCTTTCTTCACGTCAAAATAGTGTATGTCTATATTATTTATCTTACGTAGGGGCTGGTCAATTGACCACTTCTTAATTGACTAGTCAAATTTGATCAAATTTTTTAAAATAACATCTTGCCTCTACAGTTATAATAAACTATCATGCGTTTGTGATGTCCAGATTATCAATAACCCCCCTTCAAGGAATACCCGGATACAATTGTGATTCGGGGAATCCCGATAAAAATATCGCACAATATAAATAAATATAAATTTCGTTGTATTTTTAGAACTTTTTCGATCAATTGACCGGTCAATTGAGACACAAAATTTGACCTGTCAATTCTACAACCCTAATCTTTTAATTTTATTTGGAGGGTAAGATAAAAGAAAAACTAAGTTAAAAGTTTGTCATTGATAAATCGTAAGGCACGCTCGATAAGGCCGATTTTGAGTACGTAACTTCATTCATAAGGAAAGATCTTTCAAAGAAACTTTCACGGGCTACTGTAATACTATTTACGAAACTTCGGTTGTTGTTGAATTGAACGTTTCGCCAATCATCCCGTTGGCTTCTTCAGAGCTTAACCGAAAACGCAGGAGGAATCCAGAAGTTTTGTAAATAGTAAAGAATGATCTGTTGCCAAAACAGGAGGTATAGTGATATACATTAGAAATCATTTTAATTTTGCAGATCAATCCTCAGCAGGAAACTTAGGTAAGAGAATTGCAAATTTTCATCATAGGATTTTTTTTCAAATTTGGAGAACATTTTAGTGCTCTGGAAAATTGATTCTTACATTTTTGTTGGAGATGTAAATTTAAATGTATTATCAGGATATCACAACAAAAATTTTCTTCAAAATGTATTACAAGGTAACTACGATATATAGAAACATTACACCAGACTATTTATCTCATGGAACTGAGGAAATTATATTAACCAGAAGGTAGGTTTTCTGAACACAGTCTTGATCAATATATTCGAAGCGTTAAGCGTTAAAAAAAAAGGCCTTACAAAAGTGCAGAAGTTCAACTTTAACCAAAAACTCAAGAACTATTTGCAGTTAATATGGAAAGGAAACAATACTTTTCAGTAAACTCATGCCAGGAAACTCAAGACTGCTGTGGCAGAAATTGACAGAATCTAGAATATATAAAAGGTGTAAAAACTAAAGTCCTCAAAACCTGAAATTCCTGACATGATTAACTGTAGTTTCATAGCTTCATAAAAAAGCAACTCCGTCAATAGTATATATTATTATAGAATGTTATAGCAACAATCGAAAAGTTCAGTTTATCGGTTTCTTGCTCTTTCATAAAGTTGAAGAGAATGCAGTAAAAAAATTCCTTGAAATAAAATTGCAATTGATCGTGATCAAATATATCTCTCATATAACTACTAAATATTTAGAGGTCCTGCCTGTGCCAATAATACAGGAATTTATGACACAATTATAAAAAAAACTGATTTTTCACCTACTAACCAACAGATCATCAATAAGTTTAAATGCAGAATTTTTCTATGCTATGCTATGCTATGCTATAATATGCTAACATCTCGTTCATGTTCTGAAGATGAGTTATATGTGTGGAAATCGTTGTTTAGAAAGAAAATGCCGCAAAGTACAGATCAGTGGATGAACTGTAGAGGCATATGCGGAAAATTATTACCTTCTCTATGAAAGTATTAATGCCGATTGCGGCGCATCAACTTTTACCGTAGGGCCACTCTATTATCTAATACCCAGGGACGGTTGGTGCATATGAGTTGCAGTGCTGCAGGGCTACCAAAAAATTAGGAACTCTAAAGCAAAAAATCATAATTAAATAGTCTAAAATATTTTCTTTCATCAACAATAAAATTCGTAATACTTTTCATTCGCATCGTCATAATTATAAAAAACTGCAATGGAAATATTCTTTAGCTAGGTCACACGAACGTGTTCTCAGCGCTCTTTCGAATACCTGCGCAGCACAAGACGGTTATTAGTTTACCAAAGCCGTGATTTAAATAGGAGAGTTCGCAATAATAACAGAGTAAGTGTCCTTCTATTTCTGTGTATTTCTGACAATCAGTGCGAACTATGGAGATAGTCTTGAATTGAAAAAACTGGTGTAAGTAGAGGAAAAAGTTAATACATCAAAATTTAGTAAAGACGTTTACTCAAAAAATGAATGGATTTGTGCTACATTATTGTCCCTGCTTACTTTTTGGTGGCGATAGAGCTTGTGTCGAAATAGGGGTCACCGACCTAGAGCATTTAAGTTTGAAAATAAAAGAACATGAAAATTCTAAAAACCACCTTCATAATTGTATGGAATTTGCGTTGTTAGGGTCAACCAATATTATGGCTCAATTAGATTCTACCTATTGGGTAAATATACAGAAACATAATGAAAATGTGCGGAGCTTACATACAACTCTAAGCAAGCACCTAAAAAGTTTGTCAATAATTAAGGGCACTTAAGGTAAATTTTTCCCACGTTCCACCACTGCTTAAAGCTATATCGAATATGATAATCATGACACCATATTTAATATGTTATAAATATTATTAATAGTTGTTTATTGGACACGAATTTTAGATTCTAATTTACACAGAATGGCTAATCCCATTTCAAGATGTATCCGTATAAAAGCACACATTTTAAATTAATTATGCTGATACTGTTTACATCAGAAGAACGTCAAAAAGATCAAAGGAGTTCAAAAAGCTTGCCTTAGATATGCTGCCAATATTAAAAAATATGACCTAGTAATTCATAAACTTAAAGTGGAGAAAAACAGGAGTTAACTTCATGCAGTGTGGTGTGTGTGTCTCTACTACAAAATTATTCAAAATGAGTTATAGTGTTACAGTGTTAAAATACACAATATGTAATAGCGACAACAGGTGAAACTAAAAATTTCAATTATCGAAACATAGTATATACTATTAAAAATTTGATAAACGTCACTTAAACGAAACTTATATTTTGTGAAAATAATGCTGTAAAAATGAAGCATCAAAAACGCCATACGTAAAAAGCGCGATTTTAAATCTCGCGCATGCGCATGATGAATCTTCTCGACATTTGTTTTATAGTTGCTTCATAAGTTCCTGTATTATCGGCATAAGAAGGGCCTCTATATCTCTAACAGATGAGACCATCAAAACTGACAAATATCATTATACCATTAGCCCCACCTAATCCAAACCTTACATTTTGTAGGACAAGTAATCATTTTTAGAATCACATGTTTTAGCATTCTCCACATTTTTTTAAGAGGAAAACATTGGAAGTCTATCAACGAAATATTAGTTTATTAGTAATCAAAAATCAGAAAGGTCCCTGGACTAACATGTTTATGTATTTTTTGAAATAGATTTAAATTATTTTGCATGAATTTGCATGTGATATTTAGTTACCACAAATAGGTTACATCTTCAAAAAGTGTTAAGTTTAAAAGTTTTTGGTAAATCTTGGGGGAACTATTGTTTGTACCTTTAAACCAATCCGCATGCTCTCGCAAAACTGAATGAACTTATTAAGAAATATAAAGCAGTCCTAGAATAAACACACAAAATAAGCATGCTGGTAGTGAATACAAAAACTGGCACATACTGTTTGAAGAGCTTCAGGTGCAGCTGGTCTGGCTGCCCATTGTTGTGGCTGTTGAGATTGCTGAGCAGGCTGAGATCTACCAGCCCATGCTCCAGGATGAACCCCTTGTTGAAGTGGAACTCCACTAGGCCTGGCACTCCAAGCTCCTTGAGGTGGTCCAGGTCTTGGTTGTTGGGCCTGACCACCTGCTGGTTGCCCACCAGTACGAGCACGGCCTCGCGCTCTTCCTTTACCTCTTGGCTCCATCCTTCAAGAAAATAACAACTTAAATCAAAAAGTTTGGTTTTTACTTAGTTTCTGTCAACTTTTTGTATTTTTGAAGAGTATATTCAAAATATATGACACCAATTTAAGGTGCATCTAACAACTGGAAAAATATCTCAATTTCCTTTAAATTTAAATTATGGACACATTGAATGCAAATAATCAAAACAGTTATTTTAAAATTCTAAGAGAAAAACAGTTCAAAGAAAAACAATACTTTCGTAACATTTAAAAAAGGATACTAAATTAAAGGGAAACGAGTAAAGTTTTCTTAAGCATAAACTAAAATAATGTACACGAAACATTTTTTTTTAAATACAAATTAAAACTGAATTGAGGAAAGGGGAATAGTTTTGTCCTTTTCGTGGATTTCACAACAATACTGGTTTAAATACATTCAACCCCTGCACTGACCTAGTTTTCATGTTAATTCTAAAATCAAAGCTGAGTGGATATCTAAAAACGATGTTACTAAAAAACTCTAATTGCACTCTGAACTAAAAATGAGACAATTATAATATTTATTTCCTAAATCCTTTAAAACCCCAATTGATTTTAAAGTTTACCACTGCATAATACGTTAATTTTTTTCAACTATATGTTATGTTACCTATGTTACAATGTGCTCCGCCCTAGCGTAACTTTTTTAGGTAGGTTGTATGTCTTTCTGATATTATAATTTGAGAATAGTTTGGAAGATATTACAAAAGAAAGAGTCGACGGAAAAAACAATGGAACTGGAACCTACCTACCTAACCTTACCTAACCTAAACCTACGAAAATAAAATAATAGAAGGTCGTATATATATACGGAAAAAAACTACTCGGGAAAAGGTTCAATTTGCCTTGTCGTAACTGCTCTTTTTAAAATTTATAATATTGTTAACGTTATTTCCCTCTACTCTTCAAATGAGGATCACTCTTGATATATAAACCATTAAATGCAAAGAAACATATAAACACAAAAATGGTAAGCATTATGGAAACAAAAGAATAAAAGAATGCTATTAAACATATCCAAATACAATTCAAAAAAGATCAGCTCGTGTTAAGTTTGCAAGCGTTGAAGACTTTTGGCGCAAATGAAGATAAAAGAGAAAACAAAGGTCTGCCTAAATGACAAATAAAATCTAATAAAATTTCGAAAGACGTAAAATATTGATATTCCTAAAAATACAATTACCTTATTATTAAGACAAAATATTCACAGCACTCATCTACAAACCGAAAATAAAAATGGCTGCATAAATGGAGAGAATGGCTGTTTTAGCATAATCGATAAACCTCAAAACTGTCTTACCGACTGAGCACGGATAAAAGAGATAAATGATTTTTATCTGTGCGAATAAGCACTGCACAAAAACGGGAAATTAATGCATTGACAGGCAAAAAAACGACCAAAAATTAAACGGTTTTTTCTTCCTATAAAACGAACACAGAAAACTTGATAGTTTTTGCCTTTTACAGCGTCGGGTGAAAAGAAAGGGTTAAATATTTGACTGTCGTCCAATGTCAAATAAGCAACTATCTGAATAGTTTCTGCTAGTCTGTTGTTAAGCATATACGTATTTACACTATTATTTAAAAATACGTACATACAATTGAGTACAAATAAGGAACCATTTGGATAGTTTCTGCTACTATGTTGCTGAGCACGTACGTATTTATACTATTATTTATATACGAGAAACCATCGTCTTCTTTTTTACTCCTATGGCCAAAGATACCAAAATCATTCGGCCAATGAGGAATTATATATCGGAAAACCTTGGTAAGGACAGGTGCAAGATGCCTAATCTTCTCTATATCCACTATCATTCTATTCTATACTGGGTTTTAGGCAGGTGTAATTTGAATTTCTGATTCGATAGAAGTTCTGTTGTTGACAGTTACGATTTCTGTTTTGTATGGCTTTAGAAGTTTTTTTGTAGGTAGCGAATAAAAATATTTTAAAATCTTAACTCAAGGTTTCAACAAAAGTCCAGTGCAAAGTCAAATAGAAAATTTAGTCTAGTATATTTTCTTTTGCAATTGCTAAGCAATGTTTTCCAGGGAGTGGAAACGCCATTTTTTCTACGAGATTGTGAAAGACAAAAAAGTAAAAAAAAAATGAAGCTAACATTTATTTTTGTTACAATAAACAACTACTATCCTCATTTTTATTAATTGTAAAGGACCTTTAACAGACTTAGTAATTTTGTTTTTCCCATTAAGACTGGAAAATTCTTAACACTTAAGCTCTGTCATGTACGCGGTGAAGAACTCAATTTTTTTGGACAGTTTCATACATCCACTTAAAATTTATTTATTCAATGTTCCAATTTAAGATTTTAATTTTCCAAACTAAGGAAAAGTGATGATTTACTCGCGATTCTAGAAAAACTATTGAAATGACAAAAGATATGACTTAAGCCAGATAGAGGCGGTAAAAATATCTATGGTAGGAAACTAAAGGAAAATTAACTAAAGAGTTCATTTACCCACAATAAACTCAATAAAACCACAAAAAACAGTAAAATACTGGATTCCAGCAAGCTTTAATTAATGACAAACTCTTAACATTTTCTTATGATTTACTGTCCATATTACACACAGTTTCTTTTAATAACTATACAGATCTACATAACCGCAAATTATTTAGGTACATTTAGCAGAGTCACACTTAAACACATGTAATAAAAACATTTACTTTGGATCCCTGATGTTATCGAAAAATACACACTTGCAAAATAAATAAAGTGTATCCAATGAATTAACTATATGACAAAGAAAATAAAGTATTTGCCCAAAAAGAGTGTTAAATACTTAAGCCAATACTCTTAATAGGCAAGATGAAGGCCATAGATCATGTGCATTTTTACTGACTGGTTTTTAACACTTAAATCTATTAAGAGATTAGTTCCCAGCATAGGATCCTATTGACTGCCATCAAGATACCATAATTAAACAAAAAAACACATACAAATTCAGGAAGCACATTTTATGGATTCAATTATTATTATAAGAAAAAATTCACCTGTACCATTCATTTAATATTTCTTTTAAAAAAATATTACCCAAGGGAGTATTATGATGCTAAATGGAAATAAATTTATGTATTTATTCAATTGTCATAAATTTATACATACTTAATACTGAATCCTTGTCACTGATGTTGCACACAATCTAGTACCATATATTATCCTAAATCCTTTTTATGATTATTTTTATCAACAATATTTTTTTCAATAGCTTTTTTTCTTTAACAAAGTTATACTTTCTTGCAGAGTGATTATAATATCAGTTGAACTATAGTGTTAATCACTGGTGATTAAACTGTTTCCGAATGCAATAAAATTGGCAAACAGGTATAAAACAAGAGCAACTTCTTTTTTTATTAAATGATTAGTGAACATTAAAAGAAAACAGTCATATGTGATGCAGACTTTCGCAGTTATTGTGTAAAATACAATATCTGATAAGTGCGCCATTCTAATGATAATTATTTTTAACTTAGCGTGAAAACCATTGTACTTTGAAGGTCCTTTCAATTAAAACAAAATTTTCATATCAAACACACACTTCCCACCAAATTAGTAACTTGTTATGCTACAATTCAAACAGCTCATCTTGCTGAGCTTCGTGTAATTCAAGTGATGTCCTAATCTTTTTACCTTGCTGTTTTATGGTGGTACAGGGTGTCATCTGTACAGAATGGACATCATCGGAAGTGTGAAATTCATGCAGAGGATTATGAAATTCATTAGATGTATTGTTGTTCAATGTTTGTTTCATGCGCGATACAACAGGTTTACGACGCTCTGTAACCTCATTGTCCAAACCATATCTAAAAGGAATGATTTTCGTGTTAGAGAAATACATAAATATGTAGTTGTGAATGAAAGTTATTCAAATTTGAGAAGCATTTATACCTCAAGGATGATTTTAGTGTCTTTCCAAGAACTAATTAACAAAATTAATAAAAAAAAATCTTAAAAGGTAGTAATAAAAAATAAATGGTAGCGGGCAGTCTTTTAATTGCGATGATCTTGAGGGGCCACAACAAAAAAGTTCTCAAAAAAGAAACGTAGAATCTGGGATTCACATATTCTATCCTTACAGATAAGATAGAAATAGAAAAAAAATTTTTTTACAAAATAATGTTCGAAAACATAGATAATAACAATATCAAATACAAAGTGTAAGAAAATTCATACCAAGTTAGACAGCAAATCTGGACCCAACATTAAATTTAAATTTTAAAGTTTAGAATAAAGAATGTACTTGTTCTGTTGCCTTATCTAATCAAAAAGGATGACTATAGTCGCCACCCTCACGATCGCAATACCTACAAAACAATGAAATATTGCCAAAGAATATCCAAAGAAATATTATAAAACTGATAATAGATTCAATAGTGGAGGTCAATTCTTAAAACTAGGAAAGTGTCATATTTTTTTTACAAAATAAATTGTATCTGAGTAACATATTGAAGTTTTCATAACTGCATTTAATTATACTGATATATAATTAAGAATTTTAAAAAGGTCTATTAACTCGCATTAAGTCAAACATTCTAATCTTTATTAAATAAATTAATATGACAAATATTTATATGTGAGTATTCATTTGCCCTTAAAATATTAATTATTATATTATTATTAATTGGTAATATTCTAAGTAATTTGGACTTTAAACGAAAGGTGTGTGGTGGAAAAAAATTAGGAAGATTGTTATCATAATATTATGATGTTAATTGCTTTGTGATTAGTTTTAATTGGTTGCTGATTTATTAAAATTAAACTTACATGCTTTTTGTTGTAACCTTCTTTACTACCTCTTTAGTACTAGCAATCGAAGCATCAATTTTACTCAAGAAGTCACTGATATTATCTTCATCAAAACTACTTTGAGCGCTATGCTGTGAGCTACATGCCAAATTCTTGCATTGGCTTTCTACCGATGAACTACTTAAAAAAGCTGAGGACTGAGATTCGGTAAGAATAACCAATCTATCTGAGTCTATATTAGCGTTTTCCATAATTGGAATGAGAAGAAACTCTCTAAGAAATAAACTGTCAGAAGCCCATAACTTGTTGGCCCTACGAATTTGCTCTATCTGAAAGAAAAAATATATTGCTGCTAAATTATACACTACATAAAATATTTGTAATGATTCTTTCACTAACATTGTGCATGGTTCCATTTCCTAATATTTGCTTTTACAAGGGTTCCACAAATGAGGTTGGTCTAAAGGATGTTTTAATGAGGATTTTTTTAAAAGAAATTCTAGAAAACAATAACCCAATATGTGAATTTTTAATCTTTTTATTAAACCAATAAAATTAATATTATTTTACCAAAGCAAATGAAACCCATCAGTTTATTTTATACTGGCATTTTAATGACAGAATAGCTTGACAGTTTAAGTCTATTTTTTAACAAAAATGAACAAATATAGTTTACACACTCACCGTAACATTATACTTAAGTGCTATTCCCTGCAATGTATCACTATTGCTAACAAAATGTTTAACAAACTTCTCATTTCTTGTAATCATTTTGGAACTGGTGCTTCCATATTTTTTTAAAGATCTTGCACTGTCTCTAATAGACAATTTCTCGTAGGATCCTCTTTGTTTGTCCATATTATTAGCAAGTAATGCAAGCGACATTAAATAATATTGAACGTCAAAAACTCACTTTAAAAATGCAAAATTCACTGAATAACCAATAATTCAAATTTTCTAAAATAGTTGTTAATTTTTTATAATACGCCATCAAATTAAAAACACGCCTAAAGATAATTTGTTAAAAGGATATCCATTCATTGTCAAGAACACAATTCATAACTTTTTTTGTGGCACTCAGCCACTGTAAAGTAATCATGTCAATCTTGTCATTTTAAGTTCGAGCGATTGTGAGATCACATGATTTAACCACAAAAACTGTTTTTTTTTTACTTAAATTAACCACAGATGCACTAGCAAAATGAACGTTTAATATGGGCAAGGTTACTCTGGACACTCCCCCACTACCGACGCCGTCCACGAAAATTTTCAAACAAGTGTATACATTGACTTATTTTCAACCACAATTATTCTTTGGTTCCAATAATATACTTTAACCCATATTACCAGTGTATACTTTAACCAAATAGCTATGAGATAGTATAGTAGCCCTACTACGGTAAAAAGTGATGCGCCGTAGGTGGCTATGATATTTTCGTAGAGAAGGTGTGGATCTTATGCGCATGCACACTGCCATAATTTTTTTGCAAAAGTTGACTAATTTACATAAGAACGCAAAATCAGTCTCTGACATTTGAATATAATTGGCAACACCGAGCAAGGAATTGCTATTGGCAGAGAACACTAACAGTCTGTGACATTGTTGTTTGCATTTTTGATGGTTATGATTCTCTCAGTCCCTTTTTCGTGTTTTTGTGAAAAACTTGTTTGTGATCAAAACTCTAAGGAAAAGAATGTGCCTATATACGGGTAAGTGTTGCATTATGTACAAATTAATTTAAAAGATTTAAAAGTGGTTTCTATAGGACTCCCACTCACAAACTTGTATAATTGGTACAAGTGTGGCAAATATGAGGAACTAATAGACAAACCCGAGTGATTTAGCAAACTGCTAGGTACACTTAAATAGCTACATAGGAAAGATGTTTGGGTAATATGTTTTAGTGTACCAAGAATTACAAGAAATGTAAGAAAACAATTTAGCTACAAGTTTTACTAGAACAATCACAAGAAATACTCTTTGATAATTACAAATCCTTGTAAACCTCAATGTGGGAAAGTTTTCGTTTGTCATTATCATGCTTGGAGAAAACGAAATTGCCTTTCGGTTGGTCAAAAATTACAGATATTATTACAGCAGAAACTGGGGAATTTCCAGAATCAGTTCAGCTGCACCAGGAAGAAATTACGTGATAAATCTGCAGGATATTTTTGGGAAGTTTGAAGACATTACAGGAAATCTTTGAGAATTACCAGGAATTCTAGGCAACTATGAAAAATTTTGGGGTACTTTATTTGTAGCTCACCTCTCTCCTTAGAGAGGTAAGTACACATGATTTGACACTGACTAAATAGAACCACTTCTATCAATAAATACTGATTTTGTACATCTGCTTGTTGTATTCGGGACAACTTGAGGAGGAAAAATATTATATGCAGAACTTGGGAGGAAGAGATATTTATTAGCCTCCGACTATTTTCCTCACCCTTGCTTAGCTCCAGGGTAAGCTATGTCCTTGACGCGTAATATCACCTACCTCCCTTGTGTGAATAAATATTTAGTAGTTTTCAGACAAGTTATGAGACTGATCCCATGTTTGCTATCCCACTTTTTTTGTAGACTTTCATATTGCATATGTTTATTAGTTTTGATATAATAATCACTTATTGTCATTCCATTTACATTTGATTTTTTAGTTTACCAAAAGATGAAATTGTAAGGAAACAATGGATAAAATTTCTTGTCAAAAATGGAGCTGCCAGTGAGGCTTCCTCAAAAATATTATTTTATTATATATAAAAGAAGTTTTTGTTGATAGGGGGGCGTTTTTAAGCTTTATTTCCAACATTTCTATAGACCCGCGGATTTTTCGTTGGTAGAAGAACTGATTACATGCAAGAATTTTAGTTTTATCAAATAAAATTTTATTTCCGGTTTCATGAGTGTGTTCGGCAACAGCTGATGAGTTTATTTGTCTTAGTCGTAAGCCTCTTTTGTGTTCTTTGAGCCTAGTTGATATTTTTCGTCCGGTCTCTCCAATGTATTCTTTGCCGCTTATGCATGGAATGCTGTATCAACTCAAAAGACGTCGAGAGATTTTTCGAACAAGTGGTTAATCTGGTTTTGACGTTATAGTTCTTTCGAACTTTTGATATGTGGTCAGTGATGTTTTGAATGTAATATATATATATATATATATATATATATATATATATATATATATATATATATATATATATATATATATATATATAATAATATATATTAATGTGGAAATTATTAGAGAGAATAGCAGAGGTAAGGTGTTTTCATTCTGTTTTCAGTGACTCAGACTGAGATACTTTTACGGCTCTGTAAACAAAACCATAACCAATGATTTTTGGGCCCATAGTGATGTGACCATGCATTAAGGTATCAGTCTGTATGCACATAGGTTTTCTGTAAACACAACGACCCAATGTTAGGTCTGGTTTTCTATTGATAAGAATATCTAAGAATGGAAGGTTATTATTAGATTCCAACTCAATGGTAAAACATATGTTAGGGTGTATCGAGTTTAAATGTCTAAGAAAATCTACTAGGGTTTCTTGACCATGAAGCCAAATAACAAAAGTATCATCGACGTAGCGTTTCCATAATTTTGGTTTTAGATGAAAGGATTCTTCTCAAAGGCTTCCATAAATATATTCGCGATGAGAAGGTTTGGTTCCAGATTCTCGGGTTTTATGAGTCTACATTACAGCCCTTAGTAGTTTTACTTGTAGAGCGTTATTGTCAAAATTGAAAGATAGAGCTTTAATTCTAATCGGTTCACGTACAGATGAAACGAAATAAAAGATTTATTAAATCTAACATTCGGAGACCAACGTAATATTGATGGCCTTATTCAAGATTCAATAACTTTATCCCCACGTAGAGATAAATCGCCCTATAATTTCGGAATGCATTTTCAAGATGCAAGAAGTCTGCTTTTGACAAAATTAAACACAATTCCCATAAACGAATTCGAAACCGAAGCTGTAACGAAAGTTAAACGATCTAGCTGTAAAGATCTCGCTTTGAAAACATTCATTAGAGGTTTACCACCCTCCTTACAAACTATGATCAGATTACGTTCACCAACATGCCTTGAGCATGCAATGAATCTAGTAATCGAAGAAGAAAATTTCTTGTATACTACCCAGAGAACACATAACTTAAATACGCAAATGCATTTTAAACCACAGCAAAAACAAATTCCTATGTCTATACATAAACCGCAAATTCTTCTACAAAAACCAAACATTTTCCAGCAAAGACCAACTTTTCCTATGAGATCATTTACGAATACTCAACAAAACATTTTTCAAAAACCTCTCAGATTTAATAATCCGAATTTATTTCAACAAAAACCTCCACTTTTTCAGAATAGGACACCAATATTCCAAAATCAAAATCAAAGACCTATGAATTTATCATATAGCTTATCCCAAAGATCAAATTTTACTCAAAGGAGTAATCTTCCGAAACCCTAATTTTATTAATAACCAAAATACTTTCGGTTGGAGAAAACAAAATAATCAACCCTCTAAACCAAAACCAATGGACACATCTTCCGGTAACACTGGTATAAACAATCATGCCCAACGTATTTTCACAAACGATTATTATCAAAATCACCTTTATGAAATTAACGATAATTTTGAAAACTACGAATATTCCCACTACCCTGACAACTATCTTCTACAAAACCCTGTAGAATATGAAAACCCATATCCAAATACGTCCAGTTACCACGAAATGCAAGAAAATGTCGAACCACAAAACTTATAATTTAACGAAAATTCAAATTTTCGATCGGACCAGAATACATGGGACAAAACATAGTATTAAATGCTATTAAAACAAATCTACCCTATATTTTTATTCCTCAAATAAATGCTAAATTTCTAATTGATACAGGTAGTTCAAAAAGTTTAATTAATCCCGAAATTGCTTATAAATTTTACTATCCATATATATTCAACGAAAATTTTAATATTCAAACAGCTCATAATACTACTTACCATGACGAAGTTGCACAAATCCCTTTATTTGAAATTTTTAAAATCCAAGAATTTCAGAAGTTTTATTTATTTAAATTTAATACAAAATACGACGGCTTAATTGGTATTGATATTTTAAATCAAGTGAGCGCTTCAATAAATCTAAATTCCTATAATTTTCGAAAAGGAAGAGGAATGTGAAACTTTCAATACAAAAAATTTTAATTATACTTTAACCATATCACCAAGAACACAAGTTATAAAAATCCCAGTAAATAAGAAAAATGGAGTAGGAATCTTAAATTATCTAAACTTCGAAAATGGAGTAGAAATGCCTAAAGCATTAGTTGACATATTAAATAATTTTGCTATAACCTGCGTTTTAGTTGAACTAATAACCCTATTAGAGGTAAATATGTGTGAGAAAATCGATTGCGACTATCAAAAAATAACCATCGAACAACCACTCTCTTAAAACAAAATTTAAAAAATAGTAGAATCAGTCATTGTAACCAAGAAGAAAAAGACGCAATTAAGAAAATTTGTTATGAATATAGAGACGTTTTTTATTGTGAAGGAATGCCATTAAGTTTTACTAATCAAATAACTCATAAAATTAAATTAAAAAATTAAACCCCCATTTTTACAAAAACATACCGTTTTCCCGAAATTCATAAACAAGAAGTGGAAGAAATGGAAATTAGTTATTGACTATAGAAAACTCAACGACCAAACTGTAGATGATAAATATCCAATCCCGAACATCATCGTTTTTTTAGACAAATTAGGGAAAGCAAATTATTTTACTACATTAGACCTTGCTAGTGGTTTCCATCAAATTGAGGTAGATCCTCAAGACGTTTCTAAAACAGCATTTTTAACGGAAGGAGGACATTTAGAATTTAAACGAATGCCTTTTGAATTAAAGAACGCCCCTTCAACATTCCAACGCGTAATGGATAATGTGATACAAGGTTTACAAAGTGAAACATGTTTAATCAACTTAGACGATATAATCACATTTAGTACTTCATTACATTTAGAGCGTATTAAACAAGTATTTGATAGACTTCGATCTAGTAATTTTAAAATTCAGCTTGACAAGTCAGAATTTCTTCAAAAAACAGTGCACATGGACATGTTATGAACGGTATGAAACCTAACCCAGAAAAAATAAAAGTAATAAAAAAATTTCCAGTGCCAAAAAACCAAACTGAAATCAAACAATTTTTAGGACTATTAGAATACTATCGAAAATTCCTCAAAGATTTTTCTAAAATAACAAAACCATTAACTAAATGTCTTAAAAAGAACGCAAAAGTCGTTCATGATAAAGAATTTCTAGAAAGCTTCGAAACCTGTAAAAATGTATTAACTAATGATCCAATATTATAATATCCTGATTTTTCAAAACCATTTATCCTTAGTACAGATGCTAGTGATTTTGCACTTGGAGCTATATTATCCCAAGGTTCTGTACCAAACGATGGTCCAATAGCATATGCATCTCGTACACTTAATGAAAGCGAAACTAAATATTCGTCAATTGAAAAAGAGCTATTAGCCATGGTTTGGGCTTTTAAACATTTTAGACCACATTTATTTGGTAGGAAATTTTTTATTTATACCGACCATAAACGTTTAGTATGAAGTAATGAATGATTATATATAATAATATATATATAATATAATAATGAAGTAATACATAAAAAAGGAAAATTTAATTGCAACGCCGATTGTCTATCGACAATTAAAGTAAACGCCATAGAAAATGAAAATGAATCAGAATTCAAGAATCAAGAAATTTTAGACTTTCTTAGAGATTTCGCAAACACAATGGAACCCTTATCTTCATGGCAACCTAATACGCAAAATAATGAAACCCCGTCAATAAATTCTGAAAATAAAAAACAAAATCCAAAATTCGGTAAAATATCCTGTAATACTTTAAAAGGACCTAACTAATGTCCTACTCAACATACCACTGCAAAACAACAAATGAAGGAATTAAAATATACAACGAAAATATTAACAACAAAGTAAACCAAATTATTGTCTCAGTTAATGTCATAAATTGGAAGTAACTAGGGAAACATGAAAATCATAAAATAATATTAGTTAAAATACCGGCTATTAACAATGACGAACTCATTTTAAAATTTTTAAAAGAATATACCGACTCTAAAATAGTTTATTCAGTTTATTTCCAAACAGATCAATTATATAATGAGTTTTGCAAAATATATCTAAAACATTTTTCAGAAAAAGGCCCAAAATTAATTCGGTGTACGAAAAGAGTAAATACGATCACTGACCAAGAAGAACAAATATTATTAATAAAATCTCATCACGAAAGTAAAACAAACCATCGCGGAATTAACAAAACTCAAGGATATTTACAAAAGAATTATTATTGGAAAAACATGAAATTAACAATCACCAATTATATTAACAACTGCGACATTTGCAACGTGCAAAATATTCAAGAATGACAACTGAAACACCTACAAGACCATTTCAAAAGGTTCACGCAGACATTTTTATATTAGACGGTGGAAATTATTTAACAATAATAGACCTTTTTACTAAATTAGGACAAGCATAATTTTTAGAAGCCAAAACAACAATTCACGTTAGTAATGCACTAATAAAATATTTCACAGCATTTGGTGTTCCCCAAAATATAACGATCGAGAGAGGAACGGAATTCAATAATGAAGTAGTTAAAGAAACACTTAAAACGCATAAACTTAACCCTCATTTTATTACAATAAACCATCACAAATCTAATTCTCCTATCGAAAGATTGCATTCTTCACTCATAGAACATCTACGAATTTTAAGAGAAGCTCTAAAAGATCATAAAATTGATTTATTGTATTATGCTATTATTGCATATAATATTATTCATAGTGCAACAAAATATACACTTTTTGAATTAACTTTTGGTCACACAGACTTAAGAGCAGCCACTGAAATATTTGTATCCGACACTTTCTATACAGATTATGCTGAAAATCATAAAGAACGATTAAAACACGTATACCAAAAGGTTACTGAAAAATTAGACAAAAAAATTAAAACGGTAGAAAAACACAATACAACAAAACAAAATAGCAAAGGTAGAAATAAAAAACTAAATAAATTTCTAGGACCATTCGAAATCACAAAAATACTCCAAAAGAAATAGAGAAGAAATAACTAATAAACAAAATAAAGAAATTATTCACATTAAAGAATTAAAGAAACCATCTAAAAATGAACCTATTGTTTCAGATTTAGCGTCTACATTATCGGAGTAAGATTAGAAGAACCAAAATTTCATAATTTAAATAATAATCCGCGACTACTACCCCTTAAAATAGGAAATGTACAAAATAAAGTTAACTCTTGAAATTTTATACAAATATTTGATATTACGAAACTTATAGAAGAATTCTCAAAATGAAAATTTAATTATTTGCAAACCAAGAAAACTTTTGGTAATATTTCTGACCCAAATCTAAAGGATAAGATACAGACAACCTTCCAACTCGTTCTGATAAATAAAATATTTATTCAACTGTCCCAACTTAACCCACTTTTGAATATAAGAAATAAAAGAGGCATTGTTAATGGACAGAGATCGTTTATAAAAGCAATAACAGGTAACCTTGACCAAAACGATGCCGAAAGGTATGATAAGGCTATTAATATGTTGACGGAAAACCAAAGTAAAATTAAAAAGGCAATGATTAACCAAATAACAATTTTGACAAAATCGATTACAGAATTCAATAATGTTACAGAATTATTAATAAAAATAAAAAGACCCTTTTAAATCAGATCAAGGAATTACAAGAATTACAAAAAGGAATAAATAAGTACTTTCACTATTTTCTAATAGAAACATTAATAGTAAAATATGTTTCTAGCTTCCAAATAATTTTTGATACCCTAGAAAGGATAGAAGTCGAAATTAGTTTTGCTAAACTAAATACATTTCATAATTCCATTACTGAACCTACTTATCTACTATTGGAAATTCAAAAAGCTAGTAAATAAATTCCCTTTTGAAATAAATTGAATTGAGGTGGCTTTTACTTGATGAAAATCCATTTATCAAAATAAATAAGAACTAAAAGTTCAGATTTTCACGAAATTATATATTATGACATGACAATTGTTTCGACAACACATTTGATAAAGACATGGTGTTGTCGAAACAATTGTCATGCCATAATATATAATTTCGTGTAAATCTAAACTTTTAGTTCTTATTTACTTTGAAATAAATCTTAAAAATATCGTATATTTTGAAAAAAAAATTAAAATAAAAAGTTACTCTAAGAAAAATCAAATTATCTTTATAATAGAGATACCTATCGTAGAAAAGAATACGTATGCCTACTACCATTTATATTCCTTACCTACCCCGAAAATTAACACTTTTGAAACAATTGTCCCTCGTTCAAAGTTCCTTATTCTAAACGAGCAAAACTATGTATTCTTTGATGAAAAATGTAACGAGATTGTAACAGAAGAATTTGTATATGAAGACAAACGTCAACCATAATAGAAGAAAATATGCTTTGTGAAATACAACTTTTAAAATATGTAGTAAATTCTACTAACTGTACACCTGTGCCTACTCTGATAAATAATATCAAGATACAGAAATTGGAAAGGAACCAGTGTATCCTGATCACACCCGAAAAATTCGTAATAACTAAAAACAACTCTAGAGAAAATATTCCCATTAACGGAACGTACGTAGTGGAAGTAAATAATTAATGTGAAATCTACGTCGAAAAGATGATACTAAAGTCCTTTGAAGACCTGAATCTAAATTTCAAAAAATTGGAACTGCCCTCGATACCAGTTTCACCGTACTTAGACGCAAGAAAAGGAAATTTGAATCAACTCAAGATCGACGAAGTCAACCTGGATGAAGTCCGAAAAATCTACCAAGACCTCGATGTACAAAAACAAGAAGTCGAAGAATTATCTACCGGAAATTTAAAACTCTATGAAACTATTATATATACAGTGCTTTTATTTATCATTGGACTTTGTTTAATATTAACAAAATGTTTTATAATAAGCTTTTGTAAACTGATGTTTAAAAACCAGAAAAATAATAACAAAGTTTCCCTAGAAGAAAAGGATGAACAAAGAAGACAAAAAGATGCCGAGAGGAGACCAGTTTCCCTCTCGCTGACTCCGAACTATTAGGTATACCCTATAGTTCTCCACTAAGTCCGGGGGAGTTATATGCCTATAAATGACTATATCGTATTTATTAATCTCTGTGCTGTATGCTCACTTTTAATATATAAATACAAGCGCCGTAATATTTGTCAGGCTCTTATGTTGTATCACACAATTGCAAGGTCCCAGTGACCGAATAAAGTTGATTTAAAAAAAAAACTGACCCTGCGTATTGAACCTTTAACTAGCGTGCCATTTACCGCACATGTTGCATAATATACTATTTTCTACGACCGTTAGTTTTTAGGTACTTTTTTGGCAAAGCAACACGAATACATTTACTGACATGACCGTCAGAATTGATAAACGTCAAAATTCAAGACGTGGGAAATATCCCCGGAAACATCCGATTGCTCCCAAACCCGTGCGGTAAAATCCCGGAAATGCCCGAAGTGGCTCGGATCCGTGGGAAACGAAACTGACATGGTTAAGTGACGCTTCCCGCACCCTAGATCGGTTTGTAATTAAGTATTTTACAGACAGGAGTATTTAGTTAAATGTGACTCGGTAACTCTAATATGAATAACGTGAATGTTTTTGTTTTTAATGTTTTGTTTATATACCCACAGGTTTTATATTACATTGTTTTGTGGCAAGGTTTTATATACATAGAATTAAATATAAACGTAATATAGAACACATGACGTAAATATAATTGTAAGTTACCTTTAACAAAAATGTTTTATTTTATTATGTTTTTCAGTTTCATTTTGAAAGTATTGAATTCTTTTAAAAATTAATTGTCTAACTCTCTACACCATGTGATTAAGCTAATACTACACGCAGTGAAATTTGGGCTATTCCTAATCTGTCAATGCATTTCAGTGTGTGGGGTGGCTCCAACCAATATATTTGAGTAAGATCACGTCAAGTGGACCCCCCATTTACCACTTGATCATAAAAATGTAATCTATATATATTTGTTATAAGTACTTATGATGGAAAATTGATCCCACAAACGATTTTTTAAAATTTTGATTTAACAACTTTTTTTTATAATGAAAATTTTAAGCACTTTTAATTAAAAAATTGATTAAAAATCAACCGTAAGAGAGCATCCATGGTCAAATGTCGTTACTTTAAGAATATATTAATGACTTAAAATTATTTGTTTATTTTCGTATTATTAACTAACTTTTAAGTTAACAAATGAAAATTTAACTGATTTCATGGTTATACCGATAAAAAAAATCCTATTTTTGTGAAAAAACTTGTACATCTGACACCATATATAACGTTCCGGCACCCACTTTCGGGTGCCACAACGTTTAGCCATGAAAATTTCAAAATCAGTATCCCCTCCTTCTGTAACGAATAATGAGAGATTTTTTCCATATGGCTCATTTGTATCGCCTTTTATACGCGAAGGGGTTCACCCGCTTTAACGCTAGGAGGCGCACCGCAAAAAGTTTGAATCTAAAGTAGATAAAATCTGTATTATGTTGCAAATAGATAATATTTCGACGTTTAGACACCCAAAATTTGGCAACGCCGATTTGAATGTTCCATTATATTTTTGTGCGATATTTTTCGCGGGTGTGTTAGGTGATGAAATGTCAAAATGAGTCAAAGGGCTAAGAAAAATTTAGTGTATGATTGGATTTCCCTATATATTTATTCATTTCTAAATTATTGAAACAGATTTCAATAAATATTGAAAAAATATTCAAATACTGTTCAAAACTGACAATAGCAATTTAAAAAGAGATTATACCTTTATCTGTTACAGCAAGCTTCCTAAGATCATGAATGGTTTTCCAAACTAACTTCTTTTAAGTTTTAAGATCATAAAAACGAAAATGTTAAGAGCGAAGTAACAGATTTAGACGACACTGCATCAAGTTCTGACAACGATGTACCAGATTTTAACGATATTTTAAATTTAGATAACGGTTGCTCAAATTGGGATATTATGACAAATTTAAATGCCTACGCACCTCATCTAACAAATGATCCACCACATGCGAATATATCAAATTTGGTTCTAACATCATCATGTTAGAACTGATTGGATATCCCAAATAAATATGTAACAGAGTTGAATGAAGGTGCTTCAAATTTAAATTACATATCCAATTTAAATTGCTATACACCTCATTTTCAACGTGACGCACAAAACCACTAATCAAATTGGCGTAATGTTGCATAAAACCGAAATTTGGATTTGGGTAGCCAAACAACTCATTTGAAAGGCGATGCATCAAACATATATGACCATGCGAGAAATTATCAAATTCTGTATACATTGAGTGAGAAGATCTCAAAAAAAATGCTGCGCTCCGTGTAAATTGCGAGAAAAAGCTAGATTTTTGTAAGAAATTAGAAAGCTCGGTAATTATACCGATATGCATTCAGCACTAAAACCAAAAAGCTCCGATGATGTAGTTGAAGCAGTAAAAGCCATATCTTGGTACGACGCAGATACTAAAATGTTTGGAGCTGATTCCCCGGCATTACATTTTGGAACAACTATAATTATAATCCCAACAAAAACCAATATTGAAGAAGTTCTAAAGAATTTAGACCATTTTAAAGCTTTGATTGAGTCGCAATGGACCATCGAATTCGGAAGTCTGACAACCAAAAATTTAAAATCATTCACTGCGTTAAAACCCAAACTAACAGTGTTTGATTGTGCGTAAGTTTGTACAGGAAAAAGATCGTGAAACAGTTGCAATAAATAAATAATAATAATAAATTATAATAAAAAATCAGACCGACTGAGAAATATTAGCTGAACCAGTACTAATAGAGACAATTCTTGATAATAGGAAAAGGTGAGAACAAATAGAAAATGAAGTGGATCTGTCAACTCAAAGCGAAATGACAATGGCTCTGTCTGAAAATGAAAAATTGCTGACTAAATATTATAAACGCATGACTGCTATACGAAAGGGTAGTAGGCTTATAAGTATTGTTACCGAAAACATTGCAACAAAAGCTTTATTAAACTATTTACAAGATCAAAACAAATACTCCTGAATGGAAATACATATTTTGTTACATTCCCATATTCATCAAGATAGATAGATGGGTGTACCGCTATACGAAAGTACCCAGAACTGAGTGGAATACAAAACCCCCATTATTAACGTCTTCCAGACTTAGAAAACAAATAGCACCTGTTACACAGGTTTTTAATAATAATGTTATTCCACAAGACGTTTACCCAATTGCTAAAGTAACGAAAATTCTTCAACTGGTGGAGCAAGGAAACATGGATAATTTTAAGAATTACAACTTGGATAAAATTGACAGAAAGATGTCCCACACCACAATTTAGACGCGGAAAAGAGAATGTATCTTCAACATCGGGCACACAAAATTGCTTTAGTGATGAAGGGATGAGTAGTTTTCAACTATGCATTTTAAATACCCAAAGTTTAAAGCCATATTTTGTCCCTTTCCTCGATAATAAAGGACATTGCACACGAGAAAATTATCCCTGAAGTTATCAACTTTCGAGTTCATCTCAAATCACTTATTTCTTCATTCCTGTCGGATATAGAAATCGATTCAGATGATGAAGTAGCTACAGCAAGAATTATTTCTAGGCGAAAAAAGTTTAAAAAGAATTTTGGTTCATCAAAAACAATTTGTTAGATCATATGATTTCACCCTTAAAATATATTTTAGCAGATACATTTTAATGATGCTATTGACAACAAAAAAGCTCTGAGGAAGCAGCAATGCGAGATATTTATTAAAAAACATAATTCTTTCGAAGGTGTTATTTGGTTTCGTGTTAAAACATTCCTATTTAATACTTACCTCTACGTTAAAAAAGAGTGTGAGGAAAGAATAATTTTATTTTCATACTTGCATCTTGTTATAATTAAATGGTCGGATTTGAGGGATTTAAATATGTGTTTCTAAAAACTAAGAGCTAAATGGAGTGAATAATAACAATAAAGTGAAATGAATTTTTATTTACCTCGAGTTTGCACTAAAAATCACAATTAGAAACAATAATCACTGAACTGACTTCAGCGTTTACTAAGTTTTATGTTCCTCGCTATCTTAACGGCGCTAAATTGTGTGTAAGCTAATACAGAAATTGGCGTGAAATATGGCAATACTGTTGGGTGCTAGATAAATCTGGTTTTACTAATATATATATATATATATATATATATATATATATATATATATATATATATATATATATATATATATATATATATATATATATATATATATATATATATATATATATATATATATATATATATATATATATATATATATATATATATATATATATATATATATATATATATATATATATATATATATATATATATATATATATATATATATATATATATATATATATAATTATTCCTCGATTTTCAGGCCATCTGATGTAATTAGGCCAACTAAAATTAGAACAACTTATTTAAATATTAAATGGGCTGTGCTAAAACATCCAGAATGTAGAGCAGTTTTTGGCTAGTGATACTTGGTGTGGTCTTAAAGTTTGAAGATTTCCTAGACACAAAAAAATTTCCTACACAAACAATAAATGAGTTTAGTTATTTTTTGTTAAAATATTGATTCATATGTAATAACCATTTTTAAATTCTAAATTAAAACCACCAGTTTTTTTCTTTATTCCGATGGCCACGTTTATCAGGGTCATTCGCCCAACCGCCAGTTTTAAGTTGGTATATGTATAAAGTTATGTAGCGAAAGATGGAAGGGCTTTATGGTACAATTTTGTTACAATCCCGTTTTAAGAAATTTTATTTCCAAATATTTTTATTTCTTATCGAATCAATAATTCAGCCGGTATTGCCGAGGCATCACCAAACAGTTGTGCACGGATAAACACGCCCAATATTTCAACAGGAAAACTAACCAACTCTTAACTACTAACAATAGAATTTTGCTAACCAAAAATTTAAGCTAATTGGCAAGTCTCGTGCAAAATCAAATCACGCAAACTGAGCCAAGTGAGAACATAAATATAAAGCTAAGGAATACTCAGCCATAGAAAACTTCACTGCTCAATGTTCTCAGTTGACTTTTAATTCATTTTGCTAATAATTGCTGCGATAAATTACAACTATTGACAATATTTTGATTCCCAGAAAATAAAGAGAATTTTTATATATCATAATTTTGAAAAATAATGTCTAAAGCTGCTGCCAGACTGAAAAGTTTAAAGAAAGGTGTGGTCGAAACCGTTACTCATGGTCGATTGAAAACAAATATACCAGCTGGTTTAGCTGCAGCAGGCCCACCCTTAGGACCTATGTTGGGTCAGGTAGTATTATTTACGATTTGATTTAAGGATGTGTTTAGCAAGGATGTTTCATTTTCAGAGGGGCTTGAATATTGCAATTTTTTGTAAAGATTTTAATGAAAAAACCAAAGACTTTAAAGAAGGAATACCTTTACCTACAAGAATCCATATTAATCCAGATAGAACATATGACTTAGTTATACATAAACCTCCCATTGTATATTTTCTTAAACAAGCTGCAGGTATACAACGTGCTGCTATGTATCCAGGACAAGAAGTTGCCGGAAAAGTCACTCTAAAGCATGTTTATGAAATTGCAAAAATTAAAAGTGAGGATCCCACACTTGAAACAAAATGTTTAGAAGAATTGTGCAATATGATAGTTGGGATTGCTAAGAGTTGTGGAATTGAAGTAGTAAAACATTTAGACCCTAAAAAATATGGTGAATTTCTACATGAGAGAGTAGGAATAGTTGAACAACAAAAGAAAGAATTGCAAGAGAAAAAGGAAGCCAAAATGTTGAGGACTGGTTAATAATTGTATCTGTATCTGTAGTATATTGTGACAATGATTTTCATATCCTTGTTTTATTTAAATCTATGAACATGTTTTAATTGGTGAAGAGGGAATGTCATAGAGAGCGTAAAATAATAAAACCAATTAATATTTAACATCATTTGCCCCCAAAACCACATTTTTATTTAAAATTTAACCACTCTATGCTTTATTCTACACAAAAAGTTACACCATTTCAATGAGTTTCTTTCTATTTTTTGCTGATAATTTCTTGGATCTCTTCTCAATATGTTTTTGTAACTTGTTATTCTTCTTCAATTCTTCATATTTTTCAACCAGATTCTCAATTTTTTTTACAGCTGCAACATGATCCATGATAAGGTGAAAAATACAATAAAAATTCTTACATTTGCTTTTAAAAACTGGTTTTTTCCCTCTTTTCAACTGCTCCCTGATTTCCAGTTTCTTTTCACTTTTATTGTGATTTTGCCTGTCAATTTTTTCCTGTTCTCCTATCTGATTATCCTAGAATTCACTATTAAATTCAGAATTTGAAAAAATAGAAACTATATATTTTCTTACCAGTCTTTGGATTAAAAGTTTTATTTTTCTTTTTTTTTCAGAATCAACACATTCATTATATTCCTTCTGTAGCGTATGCCTTTCCTTTTGACGAATATTTTGAATAAATTGATAATTAGAATTAAATAATTTCTTGTCATAAGAACCACATAAAGGGTCAAAGCGGGGATCTCTTGGAATATTTTTCTTGAAAGGGACTGGTAGAGCTAAACTGAGCTTCGATGCTTTTGTTTTTGAACTTACTTCTCTTGGACGATTTTTATTTGCTCTTTTTATTAGGGATTTTGGAAATTCTGTATTGGTAGATCGAAAAACTGCTTTATTGTACATCTTCGACCCTACTGTCTCCTTGAGTTTAATTAACTCTTCAAAACTTAATGACTTTAAATTTTCACGTATTTTAACCTAAAATTCGTTTTTATTTTTGAGAAACTAGAATAGTAAAATGGGTTTAGGGGCTCACTCTTTCCTTGTTTTCATCACAGTCGTCAAACATGATAATTTTTCTTATTCAGTATTAGCGGTCTGCATTAATTACCGACATCTAAGTTCTATTTAACTTTTATTTCACAAGATATGAAGGTTAGTTTTGATTAGGTTATTCTGCGATTTAGTGGACTTAAAATTTCTCATATACTGGCTGCGTTCTTTTCAACGAATGCACAGAATAGCAGAATCTTAAAAATCTGGCCTTAACTACTTCCACAAAATTATCAATGTGTGCGCTATTTTTACTCTATATCGGCTCGCAAGGCATCTAACTGCCAATTCATGAAAAATAAATTATCTTCAACAGTTTAGCGTGCTCACTTTTTCATCCTTCGTGTTCTGTTAGTTTCCAACTTTTATTCATTTAATATCATATTTTGAGAAAGTGGTCGCTGTTTATTGTAAGAAATGGATACTATGCCTTTCGGTATGGCTACAGTTTAGTTTCTAAATGGGGTTCTAAGGGTTAAAAATTGATGCGAGAATAACAACATCCAGAAAGTATAGTTCCCTCTCACTCCCGACAAAGATTTTTACTATTTTGCATAGCATAAATATTCAACTAAAAAAATTCTCAAAACGAATTTCCTCCCTTTGACCAATGACCGCAAAGCAATATTTTGAATTGACTGGTGCTTTAATAAAATAACACTTTTTTTAGTCATAAATATTAAGAAATCAAATCTTTATAATAGGATCGTCGGGAGGACATACACAAACCATAATTTTAAACAAAATGTTTTTTTTTAAACACTGATGGAATACGACTTGCGTAAATTACAAATAAATAGTCTTTGTTAGCATTACATGGGCGAAGTCGTGCATTAAGGCCACTCACACTTAACCCATTTCTAACTACAACTACATATAAATTACAAATATGTATGAAATATTTGAACAAGCTTACAGCATTATATGTAAAAGAACTTTGAAATTTTTTTGTTTTTTGCAATGGCACAGTGAGTATCTTAGATTCAAGACATACTAATACTACAATACTAATTTGTCATTCAAATATTTTGGAATTTATTCCACGTTTCAAACACCATAGAAAGTTGCATTTGAAAACATCTTTGATTTTTAGCCAATTCAATCTTTTGAGAGCGGCGGGTATGTGTTCAAACTTGCGTAGGTTAAAAATAAAGTGACAAGTATTTTGGATTTTTTGTAGACGATAAGATGTAACCGCGTCCAAACAGGGGTAATACACAATGTTACAATAAGACAAGCGAGAAAGGATAAGTCTTTGACACAACTGTAGTTTCATATCGTAGAACAATATATCTCTATTTGAATATAACAATTTTAAACTCATATAACATCGGTTGGAGATGTGCTTAACATGATTCAAGAATTTCATATTCTCGTCAATATATAGACCCAAATTTTTAACAAATTCTACAACTTGAATAAGATTGTTGTCAACGTATAATTTCATTTTGGACTTCAAACTGTTTCTTTTCCTCTTAGGGGCAAAAATAATGACAATACACTTTGATGGATTTAAACGTAAATTATGACCTTCCGCAAAGGTGACTATATTTTTCAAATTCTTATTTATGCTGTTCACTGCCTCCCCGCAACGGTCGCGTTCGAAACTATGGGACAATTGCGTATCATCGGCAAAAAATTGTACTTGGCACTGTGCAACTACACCACCCAAATCTGCTGTAAAAATCAAAAACAATAATGGACCAAATACTGAACCCTGTGGTACCCCTGATGGAATATCTAGAGTAGTTGATAGCCGGTCCTGCAACAGAACTTTTTGACGCCAGTTATATAGATACGACTCAAAAAAGCTTAACGTTTTGTCATCAAATCCCATACACCGACACTTGGCAATCAACAGTCTATGATTGATAGTATCAAAGGCTTTTGAAAAATCCAGTAGCACCAGAAGCGTCGCCATAGATTTGTCACCCGCTCTCAGGATTTCATCATACAAGTTTAATAGCGAAGTAACCGTGCTATGCCCTTTCCAAAAACCAGATTGGTAGGCTGGGAGTATGTCCTTTACAGCAACATATTCATTTATCTGTCTGTATACCACTTTTTCTAGAATTTTAGACAAAACTGGCAACAACCTTATCAGCATGTATTAATTGTATAAACTATAATAAAACATTAAAAAGGGAATTACCAGTGAAATTCTCAATCTGGACAATAATGTTTGCAGTCAGATTACAGAACTTGAACACCTATGGTCGGAAGTCTCTTTTGGTCGTACATCTATATAATTCTACGTTATTTATCGCCCTCCTGGGGGCGCTATTGACAGAGCTGTGGACGGCCTTGATAATGTAATGTCATCTGTGTTCCCGTCCTTCGATAATATACTTATTCTTGGAGATATGAAAGGAAATTTTCTCAACCTGAATAACAAGGTTGGGGCTGAGGGCATATGGTTTAGAACAAATATTGAGTGAACCTACTCGAATTACTGACCATTCCGAAAGTTTAATAGACACGTTCTTCATAAATCGTCCTGAAAAATGTAAAAAACTTGGAACATTTAACGTAGATCACCTATCTGACCATCGCCTAGTGTTTGGTGAGATATATATCCAATCTCCTAAACCTAAACCGCGTATAATCACTTATAGGGACCTAAAAAATATAAATATGGAGGAATTCAACACTGACTTGCATAATGTTCCATGACACAAAATTCTCCATAGCCCCGATATAAATGAGAAAGTCTGCTATTTAAAGCAAAAAATTGTTCAACTTTTCGACGATGTTCCTCGAGCCTGGCTGAAATCCTTCTGTTGGTCTGTCCCGCATACGTCAGGCTGCTCGATCGGCATGCTACACTGTATACTCCTTGGTTTTCCAGAGTAATTTTTTGTTTTGGGTTTCTTAGTATTGCTCCGATGGTATGATCAAGTTTGTATGCCGTTGATATGTCGTGTTTCAGTAATATTCGGCCGATTTTGTTAGTAACCCCCATGATGTATGGCAGGACAGCGATCGATCTTTGTTGGGTCTCGTCCTGCACTCTCTGCTGCGGCTGTTGTTGTTTACTGATTGCTTTGCTGATGATGCGCCTTTGGTATCCGTTTTGTCGAAGACAGCTGCTAATTTTCTTCAGTTCTTCATCTCTGTTCCTCTCGTTTGTGAGCCTGAAGGACTGAGCAATTAATGTATTTGCCACTGCCTGTATCTGTGATAGGTGGTGATGATATTTAGCGTTCAGATATCTATTAGTGTGTGTTGGTTTTCTATAGACAGTGTTTTCCAAGTGTCCACCTTCGGTCCTTGTGATGTGCACATCTAAAAAGGGCAAACTGTTATCCTCTTCAAGTTCTATTGTAAATTGAATCCTTGGGTGAATGGAATTCAGATGATCTAGGAATTTCAAAAGCTCCTCCTTGCCAAAAGGCCATACAACAAATACGTCACCTACGTATCTTGTCCATAGTTTTGGCTTTAGATTTGCCTTCTCTATTGCTTTCTTTTCAAAGTAAATCATGAAGAGGTTGGCAATCACAGGTGAGAGAGATGATCCCATTGCTGCTCCATCTACTTGTCGGTAAATTTTCCATTATGCAAGCTGGAAAAACATCTGGCCAGTGCACTTCAGCCCATAGTGGAAAAGGCAGATATATATATATATATATATATATATATATATATATATATATATATATATATATATATATATATATATATATATATATATATATATATATATATATATATATATATATATAGATATCCCGGAATATAGTGTCATCACATTTTTCCATCCGTGAATCAATACGTGAATATATATATATATATATATATATATATATATATATATATATATATATATATATATATATATATATATATATATATATATTCTCACGTATTGATTCACGGATGGAAAAATGTGATGACACTATATTCCGGGATATCATCCGTTCGCTCGTTGAACTCCGACTGGAATCCTGCAAACGTTTCGCCAAAATCTCACTTGGCATCTTCAATGCTCGCGCTCCGTTGAGTGTTGGAAGTGTTTTCGGAGCGCGAGCATTGAAGATGCCAAGTGAGATTTTGGCGAAACGTCTGCAGGATTCCAGTCGGATGCAGGATTTGCAGGATTCCAGTCGGATGCAGGATTCCAGTCGGAGTTCAACGAGCGAACGGATGATATCCCGGAATATATATATATATATATATATATATATATATATATATATATATATATATATATATATATATATATATATATATATATATATATATATATATATATATATATATATATATATATATATATATATAGGTTAGGTTTTTGGAATTTGGGGAACAGGAAAAGTGTTGTAAACATTGTAAAAAGAAAGTAAATTCTTCATTAGACTGTGAATTTTGTGGCTCTAGTTTTCACAAAAGTTGTGCATTTCAAGCGAAAGTTGCATATAAAAATGGAAAAATAATATGTTGTAAGGCGTCTAGTACAAGTGAGGTTAAGAAGCCAAAAGAAATTAATATAGAACAACTCGATATAAAAATGGATGAAAGAAGGCTGAAAAACATAATTAAAGATACTTTAAATGAGCTGCTGGCCCCATTCAAGAAGCTAATCGAACAAGAAATGAGTAACTTCAAAACATCTGTGCAATACATGTCCGACTCATTTGATGAACAAAATGGAACATTTGCAAAACTCCTAGTAGAAATAAAAGCGTTAAGGCAGGAAAACGTCGACTTAAAGCAGAGAATTAAACAGCTGGAAACCACATTTGATGAAATAGAACAGAAAGAAAAGGCAAACAATATAATCATTGCTGGAATACCAAAACAAAGGGATTCAAATACTAATAATATTGTACAAAAGATTTTCACTATGATACAAGTGCCTCTTCCGGATAATGAGATAAGAACTAGCTATAGACTTAACAAGAATGAAGATAGTCCAATCCTCGTAAAGTTCGATAAGCAAGAAACGAAGAAAATTGTTCTAAATAAAATCAGATTTATTAAAGGGACTACAGTGAGTAAATGTAAATTAGAAGGTGAAGATAAGAAAATATACTTAAATGAGGATCTGACCGTGAGGAAAAGGATGCTATTCAAAAAAGCCAGAGAAATCAAGATCACGAAGAACTATAAATCTGTATACTGCCGAAATGGTCAAATATTCCTGAAGAAAAATGACCATGAACCACCTGCAAGAATTACTTCCGAGGACGACTTTTAGATATTACCCAATTAGTTTTTATGAATCTAAGAAATTTTTCATATTCATTCACGGAATTAAACAATGTCGTAGATGACTACAAGAATTCTGAAGTGGCTATGCGTGATAATTTAAACCACATTACCTGTTTTGATGATTTGGGAGGAATTAACTTAATCCATGTCAATATAAGAAGCATCTACAAGAATTTTGATAACTTTCTAGTGTTCCTGCAATCAATCGGTAAGGAGTTTGATGTTATAGTTATGTCTGAAACGCATACGGTTTATAATGTTAGTGACTTCAATATATCTGGATATCAAGCAGTTTGGAACAATAGTGTTGTAAATAAGTTTGACGGATGTATAATATATGTTAAAAACCAGTATTACGAGCAATTTTCTGTAATAGAAGATAACAGTGTCAAAAACCTTCATGTTTCTTTATGTAAACAATGTATAAGGATAAGCATATTAGGTCTCTATAGGTCACCTTCAACAAATGTAGATAATTTTATACATAGTTTGAGTAACATCCTGCAGGAACACACTAGGGACTCTAGACGAATATATATTTTAGTTGGTGATATTAATATAAATATTTTGGATAAGAATTCTGTGTCAGCAAACGATTATCAAACAATGCTTTATAGTCTAGGATTTGCAAGTCTCATTGATAAACCAACTAGGGTGCAGGGCGAATCAGCAACATGCATTGATCATTTTTTCATTAAGTGTAAAAATCAAATGTACAATAATATTAATCCAGTAATTTTAACTAGAGACTTCACAGACCATTATCCTATTTTGTTAAATATAACGTTTGACGTTAATACAAACAAAGAATTTGATAGTAATTGTATAAGAAAAATTAATTATACCAAACTCTCTAAGGTCTTGTCGGAAACAGAATGGGAGGATATCCTTGCCATTAGTGATGTTAACTTATGTGCCAGTACTTTCATAAATCAATTAAAATTGAGCAGAAGAGAGAAGAGTTAGTGCTAAAAAAGCGAGATTAAAGCCTTGGATCACAAGTAGTTTATTGGTGTCACTTCGAAAAAGAGATCGTCTTAAAAAACAGTGCACGAAATATCCTCAAGATAAGGACATTTTAAATGAATATAAGCAATATAGAAGAAGTTTATCCAAGTTAATAAAAAAGACAAAATATGATTATTATAGAGAAAAATTGAGAAAGACCATACATGATTAAAAAAAAACATGGAAAGTAATTAAAGAGGCTACCAACGAAAAAGAAAATCACCATGAGATTAAAAAAATAATTGGCAGAAATAATGAAACCTTAAGTGAATCATCACTGATGGCAAATGAATTTAATTCTTACTTTAGTGGCATTGGACAAAAATTGGCAGAAAAAATAAGACGCCCAATTAATCCTAATTTTGTTCAACAAAGCACTAACCAAGAATCCTTCTTCCTTGCCCCTGTCACAGAAAGTAACTTATACATCATATTAATGATCTAAAAAATGGAGTTGCATGTGGGGAAGACAATATCGCATCGGAAGTAATTAAAATGAATTATAAAGTATTATTAAAACCTTTAAAACATATTATTAACCGCATCTTTGGTACTGGTGTTTATCCTACGGTTCTAAAAAACTCAATTGTTGTACCCTTGTACAAGCAGGGGAATAAAGAGCTAACTACAAATTATAGGCCGATTGCATTAATAAGTACAGTAAGCAAATTAATAGAAAAATGTATTAAACAAAAACTAATTGCGTTCCTAGAAAAGCATAAGCAAATCAATATGCCTTCAGGAGAAATATCAGTGCAGAACATGCATTAGCTAGAGTTACTGAACATGTATTAGAAAGTTTGAATACCGGGAAAAAGGTTGTTGGGATATTTTTAGACTTGGCCAAGGCCTTTGACACTGTGGCACACCAGATCCTACTTGACAGGTTGCAAACGGTAGGCATAAGGGGTATTCCACTTGATTTATTTAAGTCTTACCTTACGGGCAGGACCCAAAGTGTCAAGGTAGCTGATTACGTGAGCAGCCCAATGGGGGTGGGATTTGGTGTGCCGCAGGGTAGGGTACTTGGGCCAGTACTATTTAGTATATATGTCAATGGTATATTGTCGATCCTTAACGAGGGAACTGTTTTCTGCTTTGCAGATGACACCGCTTTTATTATAAGTGATAGCACTTGGGACTCAACTGTGAGAAAAGCAGAAACTGCAATTGTCAAATTGAAACAATGACTTGTTTTTAGTCTTCTGTCACTGGATGTAGATAAAACAAAATTTATTGCTTTCAGCCGGACTCAGAAAATCTTACCGGGCATACAATACTTAAAACTCCATGACTCTGAATGTAACGAGGAGAGCAAATCATCTAAATGTGAAAAACAAATTGAAAGAACAAAATCACTGAAATATTTAGGTATCTTTATTGATGAAAACTTGTCCTGGAGAAAACATGTTGAATATGTTGTAGGAAAAGTCAGGAAGTTAATTTATAAATTTTATGAATTGAGGCATATCCTACAAATAAAAACCCTTAAAATGATTTATTTTTCACTGGTTGAGGCAATAATCAATTATGGTTTAGCAGTATAGGGAGGGGTTTGTAAAACTATTACCGCCCCATTATATATAGTGCAAAAGTATATTATAAAAATCATGTACTTTAAAAATAAGAGATACTCAACATTACTTTTATTTCAAGAGAGCAAACTACTTACCTTGGAGCAGTTGTACATAAAATCTGTGATAAGATTTATGCTTAAAACATCTTATTATAGGCATGACCTTCATCATAATTTTGACACCAGAAATGCAGCACAACAAAATGTGTTATTACCCTTAGTCAAAAATTCAGTTAATCAGCGGCATATTAGCTTTGTTGGGCCAAAAGTCTACAATACCTTACCATTAAGCTTAAAAATACAACCGTATAGAAAAATAAAAAAGAAGCTTGATCAGTGAAAAAGCCACTTCGCCCTGCAGCTTATCTAGCCTTACTTGCTTTCGATCGATTTGTGGATCAACACTCATTTCATTTCATTTCATTCCATTATATTACTGTTTAAGATTTCTTTGTAAACTATTTATTTATATGTATGATATATTTTCTTCCAACTGTTTGAGAGTACAAACCTTATGTAATAACTAGTTATATCTCTGCATACTAGGTTGCACACACAGATTCTTGTGAATCCATTGTGCAAACCGAAATTATTTAAGTTTAGAATATTATCATTGTTGATTTTTTGTTGTTGGACAACTTTGAGTTTTTTGCTCAAATTATATGTACTATATATAGTTCAATAGTTCAACAAACGGTATATATATATATATATATATATATATATATATATATATATATATATATATATATATATATATATATATATATATATATATATATATATATATATATATATATATATATTGTGAAATCCTGTCATATTCTAAGCGTTTGTTAGCGTTTTGTCATTGGTTAACATTGTCAAATTTGACATTTTTATAGAGAGAGGCAGGTGGGCCAATAATATTCCCGTTTAAAGTATTTCCCAAATTCTCCCTAACCACAAGGGTATTGTGGGAGGGACAACCATCCAACTGGTACCGGATCTCCTGATCTTCGCAAACAACTACTTCTAGTGCGGATTCAGTTTTGTAAGGTTGTAATCTATAAAAAATGGTCCAATAATTTGAAGTGCACAAATTCCCACCATAACTTTTATTTTTTGAGAATATTGGGTTCGAGTCTTTGCTCCGATAAAGACAGTTTTGAACATTGTTGTTGAGTTGAGTGTGAACATTCATCAATGAAACAAATATTTATAAAAAAGTCCACATCAGTATTTGGTTTTTCTAACATTTCAAAACAAAATGGTTTTGTGGTTTTTTAATGTGCGCAACACTGTGATTTGATGTTTATTTACAACTTGTCCAAGAATCCTCCCACTAATCATTTTGTTTTCCTTCACATGCAGTAAAATGTTCAAATCTCTATTGTCCCTTTCTTCTGCTTTAACATTTGCAGTTGTTTATTACGGTGGTTCTGGACTCGAATTGGGTAATAATACGTTTAATTGTTGAAATCGAAGATATTTTTTTAGCAGGAAAATAAAGTGAAAACATGCTCTAATACTGTTTAATGCATAATCCCACTTAATTATGGTTACTTCTTCAATTGAATAACGCTTGTTAGCTTTACTTCAATCACGTTTACACATACAATTACAAATATAAATATTTGTTACTGTCGTGAATTTTCGTGTTGTCATTGACAAAATGTATTTTACTGGTGATTTATTACCTAAACTATAAAAATTGTCCAATTTTGCCATCATATTTAATTCATAACTGAAGATTGGCAAATTAACATTTCTTCAAACTCGACACATGAGTTAATCATACCGGCCCCTCGAAAAAGTTATATTACAACTTTGCTATAAAATGCACACGCGAATATTTGGGCACCTAAAAATTTACATGGGATTACCATTCGGCAATGCATCACCCGGTATAATAATTCCTAAAATGTATTTCTGTTTGATTGTCGAAAATTCGGTATTAAAATGTATAATTACGTATTAAAATTTATAAATTAACTGTAATTAATTAATAATTAAGTAATATCCACAGCTTTCTCTGATTAAAGATGCACAAAAAAAATTATTAGACACTTTTAAATGGGTAAGATTTCTGAATTTGGTAAAGCCAAAAATTATTTCACACAAATTCAAAAAATGTGTAAAGTATATTATGCAACGAGTGCGATAAACTGCATTTAAGTCACGAGTTTATCTGTCACGAGCGGAGCGAACGCTTAATAATTAAATAATAAACAAATAAAAGTTTAACAAACGTGTTGCACACTATAATTTTGCTACGACCCGACTATTAGATTTATGGTACATTTTTGCAAAACAACACAAATACATTCACTGACATGACCCTCATAATTGACAAACGTCAAAATTCAAGCCGTTCGGTAAAATCTCCGAAAACATCCGATTGCTCACAAACCCGTGCGGTA